ACGAAAATCAGAAAAAAGTGATCTTTTTGAGTGGCTTTTATTTTGTGAAGTACGGTAATCACTAGTGACATATTGACAGCATTTAATAACGATGTTTGTGCGCTGTTATCTCGCCTAGTGATCGAAGGTTCCTCAGTGCTCGATGCACGACAATCCCGTTGCGCTTGGTAGATGTTGTTATCACATAACGTCTTCGATTACAGGATGAAGAATGTGTTGGTCGACTTTTTTGTTCTTGAAAAGTGGTTGTGTTTCCGCCGTGAGATCGCCAATGTCGACTTATCAATTCTTTGTGAGGATTGTCAAAAACAATAACTACATCTCAATGTCAGAAGATCATACACAAAAGCGGATCGCGCTTTGCAGCAACAAAGCTACGGCACCGATGTAAAATGAGAACATACGTGCGGACCACAGTACTAGAAGTACTCCGAACGTGGTAGAACCGCGACATATGACGTGGATGCTCACGCCGCTTTACTGGGTTTACTGGGTAGATTATCAAATTCTCATCCGCCCGTCAAGAAAGGTAGGAGTTAGCGAAGTGTTGTGAGTTCTTATCACCGGAAAGGCAGTATATATTCTTCTACTGGCTGTATCAATTACCATTTGATAGAGGTATTCGAGCAGGCGCAGATTGCACAAGAACTTACCGCGTCCGCAAATCGTTTTTTTGCAACAAATGCGTAGTACGATTTCTGCGTGTGAAGACCGTATAGGGCTACGGAAGATGGAAGCTCGAAGAGCGCGGTAGAGGGCTAGGACCTCTGTCCTGCTAATAAAAGAAGAAGGAGATCATTTTATTACTCCCAAGAACACCGTCTCTTTGCTGATATTACCACTTTTTTCAGTATCAAATATCTGCACCCTGTGTGCCGCCTAGTATCCAAGTTAGGAGCTGAAAAGTATTGCGCGCCCGCGTGGAGTCGTCCGACAAACCCCTTGCGAAAATTAAAATTATAGAAGGCAAAGGGTGCCGGATAAACAAAAACTGTGTCTAGTGTACCTCGTAGGTGTTGTGACCGAAGGGGTCCCACCTCAAAAGAACGACTAGCATCGGTGAGGCTGCGGAAAATCCTGATGGATTCAATCGTGTTATGCAATAGCGTAGGACGGGCAAATGCTTAATATAAAAGATAGTACGCAAAGGCATCAGACACTAGTGAAAGAGTCGAATATTCCTCTACCTTCTGTAACATCGCCATCATCTCTAGTTATGCTATTTAATGAGACAGCAAGAAGGCACTGAGCTGCTAGAGTTACTCAGCGCGATAATGTAGCTCGGATCACGCAACCAAAGACTGGACCATTTATTGACAACTGCCCACTGAAAAGCTTAGAAGGAGTCGACGTACCACCATGATAAAAAGATAGCTGCGTGTAGGTCACCATCCCCCCAAAACCTTCTATATGATTCAGTAGTGACCCACTTCCACGCACAACGTCTAGTGTATCGGCGTAATCATGAGGTTTACTAGTAAAAGGTGAACTGAAAGGTATACTTTCTTCATCGCGTGATTATTCTAGCTTGAGGTCTCATTTCGTCAAGATTGCCGTGATAATATTGCTACTCACGCCTTGACTCATCCTTGATTATACCTTCGCGGGGGAAGAGGCAGGGTCACAACATATTTCTTAATAGTGCACTAGACCCGGTCTTGGTCAAAGCTTAAGCAGCGGTTAATGGGTGTGACAGCTGTCTAAGGAATAAAGATAAGCGCGAGAGTTGACAGCCGGAACTGGGGCGATGAAATTTAACGGCGACATCCGCATCATTATTTGTTTCTTGAAGTCAGAAATAAAAGAACTCTAATCTACCTTTTATTCACTGAAGCTGGTTTGTGAAGCCGTAAATAGTAGGCGATATGTCTGTGTCTTTTCCAGCTCGTGAAACATTTGGGTACGACCGTAGCTTCTCCAGCGCAGGCATATTTCCGAGGAAGAGATCAGAAACCGCTCGCTTCTTTATCTTTTCTGAGATGATCCCTGTCATCCACAATCACAACGTGGTCACGTCAGCAAAAGTTGTTGAAACTATAGTGCTTTCAAATGGACAAGCTAAGCTTTTATATCCAAGTCCAGCTCATTGGTGACGAGCGGAATTTTGTCGTGAGTTCCGCGGCGGCATATCGCAACACATTTTGCCATAAGACTGGCACAAAGGGCGTTATACATGTGTTTCGGGTCCGGAGTAAGAAGGTCTTCTATCATCCAAAGTACAGATCAATCTGATGTTAGTGCATTGTTAATCACCAAGACTTACGCTTACTTTAATTTTCAGAACGATATTTCCATGTTAATTTCAGGTGTCAACACATTAAGACTAATAGGAAAATAAGTAAAACCGTATAACCTTACAATCAAATTTGTTTTTCTACCTGACTGCTAACAGTTTGTTCATATTTTCTTCTTACTTTGTTTTTTTGACTTTGGTTTGAGTCCTTCGAGCTGTTTACTGGGTGACATCCCGGGGATAAGTCGTGAAGTGTGAAGTGGTGCCGCTATTGAAGATTGCTTTCTGCCTTTGCCGCCCAAAGTCTTCACATTTTCATCGACAATCTTTTGTTTTGATCCGCTCAAATTCTTGTCCTTGACACTTGATGAATTTGAAGAAAGTCGTGTTGAAGGGGATCGTCGCTTGTTTGTCCGAATATAAAAGAGCAAATATGCGGTTTCGCTTAGTGCCGTGGCTTCAGAGATGGAGGTCACATGTTCATCATCGTACCGAAACCATTGATCCTTGTTATCACGACATACGCACGTATAATGGCCCCCTACCACAAACTTGCCTAGATGCGACACCACAGCAAAGAGTTCGTACATTGGAGGAGTTGAGAAACCTGCACCACTGACAGCTGCATCACCAGAGGCATCCATGCCATTCTCTACTCGACAAGTCGTGGATAAAAATTTCGATGGAAATTCTAAAAATGGTGGATACTTCACAAATTGTTGAAGCTTCACGGGTCCTTGCTCTGGATGATACGTGAATCGTTTAACACTTAACGTCAAGACTACAGGTAGCGACTCGACTGTCGTGATCTTTTTCATTGTTGGAATTTCATTGACATCTTCAATCACTTCGACATCAAATGACACCTGAATCATCTCCTCAATCGTTATTGCACTGCTAAATGGCTTCGCTGAACCATTGACCGTCAAAGATTCCTGCAGTTCATAGTCCAGATTCAAGTGCAAACAATGAAATGGCTCGATAGTGATCGAGCTTTGTCGCTTGCCCGATTGTTTAAGTTCTGAGCGCAGCGTGCCTTTAAATAGCCAGTTAATTGGCGATCGGATGTTATCAACGGGATTTTGACGCAACATACTGCTCTTGCCTTTCTTCCCAACTTCAGCCCAGCCATCATCAAAAGTCTGAGTCTGTAAAAAGGCATCATCATGTTTGGCTACCGGATTTTTGCGTTTCGTCTGTTTTTCGCACGAAATTGGTAGCTCAAGACCACTTTGGTCGTACTCGTTGTGAAGATATTCAAGAAAGAACTCCAAAAATTCTAGTGCATCTTCTTGTTCGCCTTGGATTGTTTGAAAGGCACTCAAGACGTCCATGAAAAAGCCGCTTATTCGAATTGCCTGACGTATCTTTCCATTTGCGTTGGAGCTACGTTCGGTGCTAGCAGTCTGTGAATGCACTACATATTTAAAAGTCACTTTTAGAGTTAAAGTAACAACAAGTTCAAACACTACGACGAAACGTACATTGTGTCAATGTCGGCTCTTCAAATTCGCGTGTAAATGCCACCATATGACGCCATGCTTTAAAAGTTGACGTAGTTGCTAGCATTTCTGCTGTCGAGGAACTGACAGCCGATATAGCTGTCATTAAACTGCATTGATCACATTGTAATATGTTAATGAAATTGATCTCAACATGTCTTAAGTGTCGACAAACTTACTTTAAGAACGGCGGACAAGCTAGCACAGACTGCATAATTACGTTCTGAAAGCATGTATTTCCTTGGTTTACCAATCCTCTGCAATCATCACAAGGTCATCAGCCATTCATCCAGTATCTCTGACTTACTTCACTTACCGTTTCTTCATTTCCTTAGCGGGTGCTAATACATCAAGACTCTTCAGCGCTTCCTGAACTGCCTCTTCGAATGGCAGCGGTTTAATCGGCTCTTTCTTCACTTGATTCGTTACCATACTTCCATTGACATTAGCTGCAGTAGCCCAAGGGGTACTACTTTGGTTCAGCTGTAGCTTGGGAGCACCTAATGCTTCAGCCCACGATTTATGGGTTCCATTGACTTGTTTTGGTGAGTGTTTAATGTCTGCAGCTGCTACAAAAGGACCAAGTAGGTCTTTGCATCATTAATTCAAGCGATTAAACAAACTCGTACATACCATCCGCCAATGCCTTTTGCGTCTCTTCCACTGAAAAGTCCCCAAACGTGATCACCATGTTGTGGTCGTCCAAATGCGTCATTTTTGAGAGATTATGATGGTAATGATAATTTGAATGGAGCAATGTTACGTTGAGGTTACACAATATTTTCAAAGATGTACTCATATTGTCAAAACGGCTAGCCTGTGGTCCGATCCTTCCGCCGCTTTGATTTACTTGGGCGGGCAAGCTTGTGTTACCCTCATGCCTCTTGCTGGCACCGCATGTTCCTGACCGATACACCGGCCTGGCCGCAAGGTTATAAAGGAGTAAAAATGTAAGACGCACAAGAGATGGTGTTGCAATTGCTACTGGTGGGCGAATCTCATGGAGGCGTTGCAGGACCGACAGGTAAATCCAAGAGTCAAGTCTGTTTGGTCAGTGCGAGCAAATAGGAAGGCAATGAAGAGGCACTTGCTGAATAGAACAACGACGAAGGAGGAAGTCTCTATGAATGTCCATAGCGACATATCTCGAGCTAGAATATGGGCTAAGGATTGCGGCTGGGAATATGGAGTTAGCTCAAGCTCAGCACCTAGGTCTACCACAGCACAATGTGCCGCGTACGAGTTGAGATTCCCTTTTGACGACAACAATAGGAACCGTTTAGTGCATAACTTGATGATAACTAACAACTAAATGAACTGCGCAATGATGAAGAAGCAGTTGAATATAATATCTTGAGCTGCGCTATCAGATCTTTACTTTTACTTGAACACAATACAAAGTAATTGGCGCATTAATCAAAAGCATCGTCCTGTCACGCCAGTAAGTTTGGCGCTCGGTCTTCGCACATTAATCAATCCATGCACTGGTACCGCTTCTCACTTGTAGCACTTCACTTGGCTTGGGTTGGTGGATGATACCAGAGCTTGTCATTCAGCAACAGCATTGGCGCCAAGTACCAGAGTTCTAAGTCGCAAAATTAAGGCATAAGAATTGCATAGGTACAGCAAAACTCAAGTTCGGTTCTACTTTTCGCGGTCGTCGAGGACATCAATGTATCCGGAACAGCTTTAACAGACAGTAATCAGCAGCTATCATCAATACCGTGAAGTATCGGACAAAGCAAGATGTTCTGAATGAACTCTGATCCGACAATCTACAGTCTAGTGAGTACCATCTCAGCTTCATAGCTGTTTACATGCTCTTTGATGAGAAATTGAGCATGTTGATGTGTTACACTTCAAAACTCAACAAAGTCATGATGTATGCAGTCAAACTGCAATCTAATCTGTGACAAAATTCCTTGCTATTTTAAGATGAGCCTGATGTACACAGTTTTATGAGACTCAAGTTTTCTTTACATGCAGTTCTGGAAGGATATTCTGGATATCCTTAAGTATGTAAAAGCTCGAGCCACAAGTTTTATTTCGAATAATCCCAGACATCATTAGTAACCACACAACAGACTGGGCTAATATCGTACAGCAACCACAGTCAGCACTTCGTTGAAGTACACGAGTGCATATACTCAACGAACATAAGGTATAGCAGAATAAGTATATCACATTTAAAAGGTCCGACGCTGCTTAATCGTCATTTTCAAAAGTAAAATACACTCATTCTTGTCATACACAACATGGGCGTCAGTCGCATCGTGAGCACCGCCGTACGACAGAACGTTGGATCACCTTCACATGCATCGGAGAAGTTTCTCATTAACGATCCACGTACGTTGATTCTTGCACTCGCTCCTTTTATCTGATGCAAGTGACTTAAGCTTGTCATTTGGTTACTGCAGTGATCATACTGGACTGGGATGATACTTTGTTTCCCAATACACACTTGGCTAAACTAGGCTTCTCTTCCGAAGACAAGGCCTTTGTCATTCCTCAGGACTGCGTATCTACTCTTAACGAGCTTGCCGAGGAAGTCGAAAAGTTTCTCATTGCCTGCCTTAATATTGGCACGTGCTGTATTGTCACCAATGGTCAAAGTGGATGGGTCGAGCGCTCATGCAAACGATTTCTGCCAAATGTTGTACCTTTGCTTGAGAAAATCACGATTATTTCTGCTCGCTCTTGCTTTGAAAAGGTCTATCCAGACCGACCCATTGAATGGAAAATTGCAGTCTATCAAGACTTACTTGCAAAGCACGGCTATATGCAAATGTCTCGTTTGGAACCCCGAGATGATTGCATTCGACAACAGGAGCATGAAACACAGCAGGTGATTGCACTTGGTGATTCACAAGGGGATCGTTGCGCCATCCAATATGTTGCTCGGCGAACTCCTTACATGCAACTGAAGTCGATTAAGCTGCTGGACAATCCAACCATAACACAGTTGCAAAAACAGCTGAAAATACTCGGCGTGTTCCTTGAGCAGCTGAGCTGTCACGATGAGACGCTTGATCTGGAGTTGTCGAACGAAATGCTGCAGTAAGCGGTAGCGCTCAAAATTTTGAGCAAGCCATGGACTTGGTCGAAATTTTGTACTGGAACTTTATTTCAACGTATATTACGAGTCAGAATACTCACCACGCTTCATAAGTCTTCTGTCACGCATTGCTGTCACACAGTATGGAGCTATCCGAGTTGCACGAATGGCGATATCTTTTTGGATTGTATATTGAATGGTCTTTAGTTGTATGATTTTAGGAGATAACTATAAAAATAACAAAAGCTTGAAATAATATTATTCAAGCATATAATTTAACAAATATATTTCTTTGGGAGCAATTTTAATCGACGATTTAATTATGACGGCCAGTTCTCCCCTGTCATAATCGCTATATTGATTTCGAGTTGAAAATGGAAACTTATGAGTTCCCCGCCAACGATTGCTCCAGCATCTACCGTCAACAAGACGGCGATATTGTCCTTGTTCTCGGAACTAGATTTAGCTCTAGACAAGACTGTCACGGGTGATTCTCAAGCTAATCACAGTAGTTCCGCCGCCAAGAGCTTTCTCACCTCCAAGAATGCCGAGAAGCAAGCAGAAGCTGACTTTGCAGCATTGAAAGCACTCAAGCGGGAACAGCAGCAACAGCAAAAACGAGAACAGCCATTATCAGCTTTGAGTCAGGCGTTGGATATATTTGATCAAGAGGTCGAGGAACGTGAAGCATTTATGTCACGTCAAACAAAACGGCGACTTAAAGGCAATAAAAAAGCACGTGGAGGACTATTGACGCCGTCACGTGGTCGCCGCCAACGTCACGATAAATATAAACGTGTCTAGCTTTGTAGTATGTAATAAGACGGTAATGTAGCATTTATCGCTCCATTGTTTTTCGTGGCTGCGAATTTTGTCACAACACTCGGGAAACGCAAGTCAGTATGTTAACAACAGCTTAGGTGTGTTGGCATCGAAGTCTGACTCATACAATGGTAGAAAGAGAGAACGATCATATTGGTCCATAGAAAATCATATGCACATGCACACTCATCGTGTGAAGAATGAAAGTGGGCAATCATCAGGTCGATTTGAAGTGGCACTTTTAGAATCGAATTAGCGACTCCCATCGCGATATGCTCGTTGTCACGATACAAAGATAACGAAATGAAGACCACTACGCACTCTTTGCCAGAATTCGTGAAATACTTGCGCAGTGGATCAAAAGTCATAAAAAACTTTCTGGAACTGACAGATGGCTTCAGTGTACGTCAGCTTAGTTTATATAAATGGCAGACTATCGATATTGTTGGTCAACCGATATCATATTTGAAGTTAAATAGAAGCGATTAGCATGTAGCTAAAGCAAAAGTTATGATGGCGCTAGAATGCTAAGGAAACTACTTTGTTTTCAACGGATCAGAAAACATCGATCTCCTCATTAAAAACAACTTGGACTTGATGAAATCAGCCTGGCGACACTTCTTGCAAAAGTCATCAATTCTATCTCAATTATTTTAAACTTCATGCGCAGGTTGCGTGATGCTTTGGCTGAGATATAGGATATACAAAAGATACACGCTAATACCAAAGGCAGGCGGAACATGTTTATGTGTGTTGAAGGGCGGAAAATTAAATTAAATGTAATTGACCCACCTGCGTACGCAGTGAATGCGGTCTACATGACTAAGTTGACCCGTGGTATGCGGGACAATTCACGGTCGTGGCAAAAGGTTTTGAGGTTGACACTTGATATCTCAAATGGAATTCGATCATATCCGATGTTCTACGTCGGCTTGCCGATGCCATACCACGATTTCACTCTTAAGAGCCAGTAACATGTGAAGAATTCTGTTGAAAATGGAGCATGTTACTGGCTTTCCTCTTTAGCTAAGCGAAGGCTCTGCTTCACAGCTGCGGTGCGGTTTTAAGCCACTAGAGGTGCTTCTTTGATGGCGAGTCTGCAATCTGAGATCAGACTCATCACAGTTCCGAACGCCTGCCATGACTCTCGTAGAAAAGGCGGGAAGTGTGTGGAACGTTTAACAGGTCGGTGGAATAAGCAAGAATCGGGTAAAGTGGGATGCGCTGAATCGGAGAAATATAATATTTAAAAGATATTCTGGCATTGGCGCCGTGACCTCTTACGACTTGTCGCGCCTTCGGCATTTGCCTGTCTCAAGATGAGGCAAAGCCGCCCGACCGAATTTGTCATGAAAAAAGCCTTGGTTGGCAGCTAGTAGAGCTGTCACATAGACACAGGCTGATATCAAAGCAAGAGAAACCGAAAGTGATAAGTTGTATTTCGACGTCCGCGTCGTGAATTGAACACTGCCAGTCAAGCATGGCCACACACTGGACGAATGTTTGCATCATCAAATATGGCTCGTGAGCGACTGCTTTTGAAGCCAAAGTAACGGTGTGACTGTTGTGCTTGCACTAGAGCAAGTTGGGTTTGCTCACTCTGTAATTAAGAGCTGGACACTCTCGTGAGTTCTAGGGCGGGTGGTCGCAACACTTCCCGCCGACAAAAAATGGGTCAGAACCAAAGCTCGTGTAGCGGGAAGGCTGAAACAATTATCGTCTGCCCTTGGATAACAGCTAAATCGGGTGTCAAGGCGTTTGGTAAAGTCTTTAGGAGTCACAACAGCCGTTCGTGTCAATGGATATTTTGGCCTCCTCACCAAGATGTTTTTTTAACACGTCGGACGCAAGTATCGCACTTTTTAGGCTTGTCGAGAAATCTTTGTGCTGCAAATGGACTTCTGGTGCAGATATGCTTTGATGAGCATACACTTGTAGATACAGAAGTTTTGAATCGAAAAGATGACTAGACGGAAAGCAGGTCGGCGGATTCGTTGCTGGTGAAGCTACAGCCAAGATTTTAATTCGACAGAGTAATTCGCCAACATGGCTTGCCGGTTACAATAGACCGAGTTCCACTCTCTACAGCAAAGCTTTGGAGAACTTTGTTCGGAGTACTGGGTTTCATATTGGGCCTGGCCAATGTCAAATGGTCCAACAGAAATCTGTTATTGCGTGGTGAAGGATTTCTTTTAGCCCTTGAACGGAGAGGCCGCAGTGATGGCTCAGAAACTTCCCCGCTCATTGTGTTCGCGTAACGCAGTACGTGTATACCAGGCCGTATCCCTTTATTGCGAAATTCTCAACCAATTTCTATTCCCTGATAACACTACATCCTGTTACTCCGATCAGATAAAGTGTCATCAGCATCGCGGGAAACGCTATGGCTACTCACTATACAAGAAAGCGGTTGCAAATTCAAATTGTGCTCTATGTGAGATTGTTAATGCCAGGCGACGATTCTACTTTTGCGAGCCATTCAAATGCAACACGCTCTATTCAGGACGAAGCATTTTTGAAATTTCCCCGATCTGAGCTGCGTTTTGCTGGAAGGTAACTTGACAAATTACGAATTGCCGGGGGTGCCTCAAGTATTTCCGTACAATGCCCTAGCTCAGAGAGCGCATAAAAGTTAAGCCGATGTCAGCTTTAGCCGAACAACGCATGTTGCTCCAAGGCCTATCATGTCTAAAGCCCTTTTTTACATCGATGGACTGACGCTTAAATACGCAGACTCAACCTGAGAGACAATTAAGCTTCCATCAATTCTTCGTTGAAGGTGCGTCACTAGCACGTTTTTGTCAAAGCTGGCGAGCGCCTTTAGGCGAACACTAACCATTTGCGGCCATTAGGCTGCCAAAATTCCATCCTGTTGGTCAAACGATCGACACGAGGTTATAATTATCGCGGCCACAGAAATTCGAACAACGATTATCCATTGATATACTCTACATATCACATGACTTTGTACAAAAGTGTGATGGGTACACACACCATTCTGTTGTAACGCATCGTATCAAAAGTGAGATGAGCTTTATGCTAGATCTACAACTTTTGAAAAGAAAAAATTGTACAAAAGTATTTTATTGCAGTGTATTGAACTAAACTGGTTGGTCAGCTTTCTTTTTAGTACGTTTGTGACGACGTTCTATATATTGTGGTGACCACCGATGAACTGCTTGCAGAATTTCAGCATTTGATTTCGCAATAACCTTGTTCAGCAAAACGTCACCCAGACCATGACGGGCAATATAGAACACAGTATAGCTTTTCAACAAAGTGAGGTAGCGTTCATTCACTCGCAGGTCGTTCACAGAACTTGTGAGCTCGTTCATCAGAGCAAAGGGTGTCAATTCATATTCTGCAAAGAGTTCCGACTGCAAATTTGTGGCGAGCCGTCCCGTATGACCCTCGATATCCTTGATTGGTTCGAAGATCGCTGCTTGTTGAAAACTCACACCTAACAATTCATTCGCTTTCAAGAGGTCGATGGTCTGTTTGTTTGAATATGGATGTCCTAGCGGGTCTTGGTACGATTCAATGTGCAGAATGAACCGAAGAAAGTTGTGGCTGTCGTAAAGTTCATGACTTTTTAGCTGCAAGATCTCCACCAGATTTTCAGGGGACTGTTCCAGGAGAGCTGCATTCATATTGCGGCCAATAAACACGCGCATATGGTCTGCAAATTTCTTCATGTCTGTATTTTTCCGTAGATTTTGGAATATTGTCATGAGATCTTGCTGAAAGTAGCCTTCAATTGACGAGACTAAGTATTTTGTTCTAGTGAACAATCATGGATAAAGTCTTTGCCTTCGTAATGTGTAGCGTTCCTGTGCAATTGCTTTTAAAACCAAAAGATGATGTTGATCCTCCGCTGCTGTTCTGCATTGCTCACATGATTTGCTCATATTGGTCTCTGTACGAACAAAGCCCTAATGCGATGTACATTTAACATTTCTTCTACGGTGTAGAAAAACTTATTGTCTCGCATTTAATATATTTCATTTAAACTATCTGATTCATTCCTTTCTGTGATACCCTGCAATTCACTTCGTACTCGGGAAAGAACAATATACAAAGTTAAGACAAGATGTTTGTTGTATCTTTTTCTCACGTGGAAAGGCAGATCGAAGGAAATTATTTTGATCGTTTCTTTCAGATTGGTTATATCGAGCAAGTTGCTTGATTTTCAGGCCTTACACCTTATTCGCACTTTTGTCAAGAATACCGCAAAAAGAAGCTTTTTACATTAATAAACAACTTGAAGATGCAATACCGTAACTGTTCAATAACTGCCAATTGACTGTGCCCAAAGTAATTTCGAATCACTACTTTCGCTATTGCAACCCGAGTCCGTACCTAAACTGGAAGACAGACTTCCGATCTTAAAGGAAACCTCTGTGAAGCACAATTAACATCAAATCGTTTTCAAAGCTGCCCATATATATCTAAAAAAAGACCAAACCCCGTTTTCATGGACCGGACTATGGTTGTACAGTTACTAAAGACTTCCGACGCTGCCGCACACCCTTTCGCTTTCAACAACACATCGTTTCACTATACTCGTCTCTGCCATCTATCTGTGCGCACTCACTTGGCACTTCATAAAGCGAAATACCAAATACTTAGAGAATATCCTCCTTATTCGTATACAACATGGGCGTCAGTCGTATCGTGAGCACCGCCGTACAGAACGCTGGATCAATCTCACATGCATCAGAGAAGCATCTCGTTACCAGTCCTTGTACGTTCATTTCTGCTGCATTTTAGTCGTAATCTTTCCATTCTAATGCGAATGATTATTTTCTATGATTTGGACTGCAGTGATTATATTGGACTGGGATGATACTCTGTTTCCCAATACACACTTGGCTAAATTAGGCTTTTCTTCTGAAGACAAGTCCTTTGTTATTTCTCAGGATGGCGTATCTACTCTTAAAGAGCTTGCTGAGGAAGTCGAAAAGTTTCTCATTGCCTGCCTTAATATTGGTACATGCTGTATTGTCACCAATGGTCAAAGTGGATGGGTCGAGCGCTCATGCAAACGTTTTCTACCAAATGTTGTACCTTTGCTTGAGAAAATCACGATTATTTCTGCACGCTCTTGCTTTGAAAAGATCTATCCAGACCGACCCATCGAGTGGAAAATTGCAGTCTATCAAGACTTACTTGCAAAGCACGGCTGTATGCAAATGTCTCTTTCGGAATCCCGAGATGATTGTTGTCAACAACAGGAGCATGAAATACAGCAAGTGATTGCACTTGGTGATTCACAAGGGGACCGTTGCGCCATTCAATATGTTGCTCGACGAACACTCAATACGCAATTAAAGTCGATCAAGCTGCTGGACAATCCAACCATAACGCAATTACAAAAACAGCTAATGTTGCTTGGCGTTTACCTTGTGCAACTGAGCTCTCACAATGAGACGCTTGATCTGGAGCTGTCAACTGAAATGCTGCAGTGATCGGCAGCGTCTAATTATGTCTTTATCGAGCAGTAGATTCTTCACTTTAGCTGTAATATAACGTATAATACAAGTAACGATACTCTTCCTGTGCCTTTTAAAAGTGTTCAATCGTAAGGAACTTGGATAGATATAGAATATGTAATGTCCATACGGATTGCAGTTACTTATATAATGCCATCGTTATTCTGTAGTCAATAAAGATGGCAGAAGAACTATACTAGTACTCTGCATTATAAGAAATTAAGACTTTGTAAGCGTTCATTTATTAATCGCTTTTCACTAAAGTAGTTGAGCATATTGAAAAATCATGGCATCGCCATCTAAGGTGTACCTTTAAGTTATTTATACCAGGAGAAATTTTGACGAAGCGGATCAATCTCAAGTCTTTTTTGTACCGGTCAATTTTCAGATGCAAGGCGCTGTAACTAGAGACAAAGTTATTTGTTTTGCATTTCTTGAATCTTTTCTCTATCTACATCAGCAAAGTTTCTGTCCATATCAGATAGAATATAACCGAATATTAAAATCATTGAAGCTTTGTTCCGTACTGCATGTTTCACAGAGTAATATAGATTTTATATTTATGTGATATTTGACCGAAAAATAGCATCAGAACGGTCTTGCATGCGCCGTTTGCATCTCATACAATGGTACGTGTATCCCCGTTACAACTGGGTTGCCGTGCAGCTAGCACAGAGAAAATCTTAGTTAAACAAATCCACATTGACGAGATCGTTTGTGTGCTCTACTCAGGACCAAATCGAGCGCCTTCTAGGTACTCAGGTAAACTTGTTTGAACATTCTAGTTATATGAAAGACATCTATTGAATCGTAACATGACACCATGTACAGCGTTTAAGCACCTATATTATGTGCAACATAGCGTGAGATTACCGCCACTTTTCGAATCAATACTAATCATTATACTTCATCATGAGTTGTTAGTGTGTACGTACACCATAATACGATACGTACCCCGTTAGATAGATTCTATTGAGTACTGCTAGTCACCGTAAATAACACACATATAAAGTTCCTTAACACAGAAGCAATATGCCAGACTGACACGTTATATTTCTTCAAAGTCACATTTCTTACTTGCGTATCACTTCCTCCTTTATCTCAAGCACATCATCATACGTGTGACTTTGCACAATATACTCACTTTCATCCTGACTGTCGTATCCATCAAGAAGTGCAATGTACTCGGCACGGCGTGCAGCTGCGATTGCTAGACGTCTGTCCAACAATTCTTGAAACTCTTGCTCTTCACGCTTTCGCTCAGCATTAAGAGCAGCCAACCGTTCCCGCTCCTTAAGTCGATCCATTTGATCAAAACGTTTCTCAAAGGTTTTCAAATTCTTAACCACATGATTGTATTCACTTTCTGACAACAATGTTCGAGGACGAGGACGCCACAAGAATTGGTAGAATGTTTCTTTCTTCTCCTCTAACAACTGCTTTCCTTGAAATGTCCACAATGTGTAACCGTTATCCATCGTAAACTTGTAGTACGAGTTATCAAGTGGTTGACACACAGCAGTCGCCACAACTCGTCCAGACGGGTCCCACTCCACATGCGTACATTTAAAGTGTTCTTGAATTGTAATACTCTGCTGTTCAGAAACGTCCCAAAATTCAAGTTGACCATTAATTTCACCAAGTCCCGCCAATACAATGTTATTACCGAGTGGTGACCAATACAAATGGCTGCATGCTTTGTCGGTCAGCGTGTACAACAATGTCACCTCCTTAGAAGATTTGCTACCACCATCCATATCATAGAATGACACATTCAAACGTTGTTGACCTTCTCCATGCACCGTTGCAAAGCGAGTTCCTTTAGGTTCCCATGCAAAAGCCACAATATTGTCTTTCATTTCAAGCATTTCCACTGGCACTAGTTGTTCATGAACTCGAAAGAGCTCAAAATTGGTAAACATAGTCTTCTTGGACTTGGAATGACGCGTTACTTTAACGCATAAGAATGTTCCATTAGGATGCCAGTGCAATTTGCAGTCGCTAACGTTAAAAAGATTCTTCTGACGCACTTCACGACGAGAGGGAAGTTCCACTAACGACACACGAGCTGGTACATTATTGCCTTCTGGGGCCCAATACGCCAAAATTGGATCGGTGGGGGACCAGAAAAAGTCGTGAACTCCTTCAGCACGCAGTGATTTCTTATCAAGTAGCTTCATGGACGGTAATTCGTACACACTAATGACATCTTTGCCACGACGCGCGACAAACTTATCGTCTGCACTCCATTTAAATGGAGTCATAAGTCCCTGTACCACTTCTCCCTTTACACCAGTTGACTTACCAGCAGGAAAAGCTCGTAGCATCTTACTTGTCTGAACGTCCCAAATAATAATAGCAGCTTCCTGTTCCGTCTCGCTTAGTGTAATAAGGTACTTTTCATGAGGAGAAAAGACGGCTAATTTGACATTCTTGTGTGCAAAGCGACCAACTTTCTCATACTTTTCACCGCCCCAAAGTGCGATACCTTGAGGGTGGAAAGTCGCGAGGTACGATCCTTGAGGAGACCATAAAACATATTGCGAGCACCACTGTTTTCCATTCTTTTTTTCACGATCACCAGCATAGTCAAGCTCAAGTTCACCCTTATCACTCCAGAAGATTTCTGTTTCAGAACCATGACGTAGTACAAACATATCACGTCGTGCAGGATCCATAAGCCACGTCTTGAGATTCTTTGGCTCAACAAAGCTATTAATTGTAGGTGGAATAAACTCCTCCGGTGTCTTAACATACCGTTCCATGTCTTCATACTTGTTAACAATCATTGTATGACGTTTATCCAATGCAAAGTTATTGATCGTACGGACAGCATCGTTCGCATGTGCTTCTTGTTCATACTCAATAAATGCAAATCCTGTCGTTTTACCACTTGAATCAAATGGCACTTGAATGTCAACTACATTTCCAACTTGTCCAAAGATCTTTTTCACCACATTTAGTAATTTTCCATGCTTTGATTCATCCACAACAGGTAAACCACCTACTACAATTGCCATACTATAATCATTCGCAAAATCTGCTTCCTCATGAGCTTTTGTCGTCATTTCATCTTCCAACTCTTCATCACTAAGATACTCAGCATAATGCTCAGCTTCACGCTTAAGATGCGCGAGTTTCTGCTCAAATGTCGTAGGAGCCATTTACCTTTGAGAATGGGGCTCTTAAGAACCAATGACTGTAAATGATGTGGTGCACTTTATTACTTATCTGTACCGGTATAAATTTAAACTACTTAAGGCGACGGTAGTGAGACGGTAATAATGAGTATGGGAAATCACTTAAAAGATCTAATTGATACGCAGAAATATATGAAAGTGGAAGATATTGAGTCGATTTTACTATAAATTCGAGAAATCTTGACACGTTGGACAGACAGAGCACATTGTTTGCATTGAAATAAAGAAAGTCATGTGATTGATCGGAAATGTTTCAAGATTTGTGTTTTCTCAATTCGCAGAAGGTCTTCTAGGAGATTTCCACATAATTTCACAATCTTTATCACTTACTTCTGATGGACTTCGTGTTGTATCTTGCTTTGGACTTGTAAATCTTCGAGGACGAGGACTTGCAATCCCAATCGATCCTCTTCTACTCGGACTTGAAGACGGAAGAAAGTGTCCACTACCACTTCTTGCTTGTATATTTGATACAGGAGAAGTATTCGGAGATATAACAAGAAGAGAATTCTTTGACTTGAATGATCCATTAAGATGCATCGTATGTGTTGGTGATAAGGATGACGGTGAATCATTCGAAAAAGAAGCGAGATTTTGCCCAATACTTAAACTAAATAGCGATCTTCGACGAGATTCCGTTAAAATGGGAGAAGTGATGAGTTGACTTGGATCTTTGAATGGTGAAGCAGCTACTATAGAGAGTGAGGTTAATTCTTGATGTTGTTTTTGTAATTTCTTGTCCTTAACTCGACGACTTAATTGAGTAATTAACACAGGTTCCAATATTCCATCTTTTGGGTCTCTTTTACCTACTGCAATAGTCGAAATAACTTGCCACGGCTTCTCGACACTATAATAGACAATATTTCCTTGTTGCATTTGTTTTTCCACTGTTTCTAAATTATATCGATGTCGTTCAAGTAAAGTATGTCGAATATTCGATAAACTCGAAAGAGAAAGTCGTTTCCATCCAATTTCCGATAGTTCCAACATTTGAACAGGTGTAATACACATATAAACCGTTTGAGCTAAATCGTCCAAACCTACTGGTTTCATCGCAATGGTCGTAGTTGTCACAGAAGCTAAAGTTGCCGCAATATATTCTTGAGCATGAAGATCCGAAATAGAACAAGATGCAACATGAGATGGGACAATAGTATTGGAATTTCGAGGAATTTCTAACACATTTGTGTCCAATACAGTAGCAGTTGCACTTGCCACTGCAACGCCAAAAACTTCACGTGGTCCAATAGTTGCCACTCGAACAAGTACTTCTTTTTGACTTGTACCATCATTAACTGGTACCATTTGACGTAAATATACTGCCACTTCACCACTTTTTACAATATAAAGAGTACGCAACTCAATGGGGTCGTACAAAAACGTATGTCTTCGATCGTACATTTTTTCTTGAATATCATGAGCAAGTCGAATACATTGAGGAAAATCACTTGAACGTAAAAAATCAAGTGTCGCTAGTAATTCAGCACGTTTTACCATCGCATGTTGTATAGAAACACCAGGTAAAAGTGTAATTAAAGCTTGTAAATGTGCACGTTCAAAGACTAAAAGATCCGATTCACATGGTGCTAAAGCTGAAGCAGATCGTTGTAAACGTGTAACAAGTGAAAGTTCCCCAAAAGAATCACCAGCTGATAATGTTGCAAGTACATCGTAACTTTTACTTGATGTTTCTAATTGTAACGAATCACATTCTTCATTCACAATTTCAATCTTTCCTCTTAAAATAAGAAATGCACGACTCTCAAACTTTCCTTGTCGAAATAGAAATGTATCTTTTGCAATAGTTAAAAATGTAGCATATCGTCCAATACCACGTGCAAGTGTAAGTTGATCAATTTCAATCGGACGCTCAAATTTAGTTACAAAGGCCGTTGATTCAAGTAAACGAGCTAAGAAACTTGTTTCAAATGGGGAACGATCAAGTGGACGAAGTGAAAGAATTCGACGTGTTTCAAATCGTATGATACTTAACGCTGAACTTGATTGATCAGAACCAACACGATCGGAAACAAATGGAAATTCATTTCCTAATGTTGGATCAATTACTAATCGTCGTAATAAATCCAAATATAATGTTTTTCCTTCAAATTTTTGTAAATATGCTGCTTTAAATTTCTTTACAAATGTTGTTAAATAACGAGATACAGATGGATTCGCAAGATGTAAATGACGTGTTCGAGTAATTAACAACCATTCTTCAATTAATGACATTGCAAATAAAGCTTCAATATCAGCATTAAGACCTTGACTTCCTTGTAAATGAGATGCTTCAACATAAATTTTACGTGAAATTACAAGACAAAGTACATTTCCAACAGCTATAACATGTGCCGTTCGTGGTCGAGATAATAAACCCATTTCACCAAATCCTTGATATAATGTTTTTCGACAAACTATTGAACATTCTTGACTTTGATCATATAATTTCGTTCCAAATGTTACATTTTGAAATTCTTCCACTTCGACATCTACTTCTCCTTGTACAAGAATAAAATATCGATCATCATCTTTCTCACCTTGTTGTATAATTCGATCTTTATCATGATATTCTTCAAGTGTTGAATGATCAATTAAATATTGTCGTTCACGTATTGAAAAATGATGAAATATACGATGATGAAGTAAAATACCATGAATCCGAAGATAATGTCGATATAACATCAATTCATGAACTGTAGCAAATAATCGTTGAAATGCTGTTTCTAACAAAAGAAAACACGTCACATTTCCAATAGCAACAGCATTTAAACCTCTTGTTTCCATTCCTTGTAAGAAAGTTTCTTCACCACAATATTCAAATTGTTCTAATTGATATAATTGAATTTCCATCTCGGCTTCAAGTTGAGATCGTTTTCGAAGATTTCGACGAGGTACAAGTGGTTGAATATTTGAATCCAATGTTAAGGATCCAATAGATCGAACGATACTTGTAGCACGAGATCGTCGACGTTGAGTAATTGAAACTTTACCTTCATCTATAAAGAAAACATCTCGATTATTTTGTCCTTGACGATAAAGATATTCACCATCATTAAATGAAAGAAAGTCAAAAGCTCGTACAATTTGTCGTTCGGAACACAAACCTTCTTTAATCACATGAGTTAAAATCGGAACATGACGAAGAAATTGTGTTTTACGTATTGTTAACAGCTCTTGATCTTTCTCGTGATTCATTCTTTTCGTCACATGAATGAACAATCTGTTTCAAAGTTAAAAATATCAAATTCTTGAAAGTATATTTTCATCATTGTAACGATTTGAATCAATCAAGTGATAAAATTAATGGTGCAATGATTGAACGTAATTCATAAGCGACTGTTAATGCTGTAGGACGTGCTTTTGGATCCAAATTTAAACATCGAAAAGCTAATTCACGAATTTCTTTTGGACAATCATCTTGAAAAGTTGGTAATAATTGACCTTTCGAAACGAAATGAACAATTTGAATACTCTGCATTTTCGTATGACGAGTAAATCCATAAGGTAAAGCACAGGTATCAATTTCTGATAATACAACACCAAAAGACCATAAATCACTTGTTTCATCATATCGTTTTCCTTCTAGAATTTCCGGAGCAGTCCATAAAATTGTCCCAATTCCATTTGTCATGGTATCTTCAATTGATCGTTCACGACTTAAACCAAAGTCACTTAATTTTGCATGAAGATATCGATCAAGTAATACATTTTTGGATTTTAAATCACGATGAATGACAATTGGAAGAAGAGAATGAAGATAAACAAGTGCTTCAATAATATCACAAGCAATTTGAAACTTTTCTCGTTTCCATGAAAATTCATTTCGAGAATTGGAATGAGTTAATACTGTTTCTAAATCTCCATATGCCATATATTCGGTGATAGCACATAAATGCCAAAGAGAATGCCATGCTACACCAAAGAAAGTTACAATTCGTGGATGTTCCAAGAGTGAAGCCATTCGAATTTCTTCAGCAAATTGTTCTAATGCTTGAAAATCTTTTCGTTTTAATGATAATAAACATTTCATTGCAACATATTGAGTTTCATATTGTCCAAGCCACACTTCTCCACTTCCTCCTTTCGCTAATAAACGTAAACGATGTAAATGAGAGAAAGCAATTCGTTTTGTTATGATTGTTGGATCGGAGACAAAAGTTGATAAAATGACACTTTGTTGACATATTTCATGATTGAATTCCGTCACTTCGACGTGTGTTGTTCCTTCTGGAAGTTCACGAGTATATTGTTGGAGATTTTCTATTGAAGTGAGATGGTTATGAGTCTTTCGTTTCGTTCTTCGAGTGAAGAATCGACGTAGAATATTAGACGAGTGAGATTGTGTTTGATCGTCCCATTTGTCGTCTAGTCGTACATTTTCATAACTTTTTTGTACCCACGTACGAGATTGAGTACAATAACAAATGTAAACAAGTAAAATGACACAAAAAAATGTCATTATAGTTAATGACACAATTGCTGATGTTGAAAATGGGGCAAATGATGGCATGGACGTCAATTGAAGCCATAATGTCATAGTAACACCATAAGTTGCTGGACATAATATTATGTCGTTGGTTATAGTAGTATTCTCAAATGGAAGATTACTATTTTCAATTCCTCGACATGGCACGATAAAATTTGTATATGGTTCACAAGATTTGAGACCAAGAAATGAAATGTCAGAGAGATGAATCGCAAAAAGTGATTGATTCACATTTGTATGAATGGAAGTATGTCGTCGTATAATTGGATTAGGAATACTTGGACTACGTCCATCTTGAGCATAATAAACTCCTGAAACTTGATCTTGTCCATCCATATCAGATGTGTAAATTGCACACCGTGTTAATGGGAGGACAATTTCAACGGGACAGAGTGGAGAGAGAAAATGGCCTATTGACCCGCAAGTTTCCACTTGACAACTTGGACTTGGTCCTGCAGATTGAAGGATCCTAATTTCGGCTACAGATGGTAAGATGTCGTTCATCCCTTGACTGCAGGATGTAAAGATTTGAACAAGTTTGAGATGATCTTGAACATCGGTGGACACTGAACTTAGAGATGAAGCAAAGACAAATCCAGTATCCCATAATAATGCACGTTGCATTAAACCTGAGAGATCATTCCAAGTAAGTGAATAGCTGAGTAATCGCTTTGAAATGGCGTTTGGAAGTGCATTGGATTGAAGTGGAAGTTTAGCCACAGAAACACCAGCATTTTCCAATGCATAAAGTCGAGCTACGATGTCACTTTCAGCATCACAAACTTTGCAGCATTGGAGCAGATAGATGACACACAAGATTAAACGCATGGAAGGTGTTCCAAAAAATGAGAGGCATGTCGTGGATAACGTGGACCACGTAGGATATGTTGGTGCTACTTCAGGATCCTAATTCAGCAACTCTTAGTTTATGGACTTAAGGCTCAAGTCTTTTTATAGAGTTTATATTTCAAAATTTCATCTTTGGTGTCTGTTGAATTTCTAATTACAATATTAGCTCAAGTTCGAGCCACGGATCTTGGCCATGGACAATTGGCGACGTCCTCGTGATTGAAAAGCCACATTTTTCATAAAATGTGACCAAATGAGCCTTTGAAATGAGCATTATACGTTTAATTTGAGGAAAAGAGGTGGCAATCGATTTCACGTATTGCTTGAGCATTTCTGTAGCGATTCCTTGACGACGAAAGATTTGATCGACTACCACTGAGTGAATACAAAGGAGCGATCCTTGAGCGTCATGATGACTCATACTGTCATGATCCAGTGTATCTTTGCTCGTCAGTGTGCCATTTATGAAACCTATGACGGTCTTGTCGGTTGAACACTTGTATGCCACGTAAAAGAACGAACCAGCATTTTTCTGGCGAAAGCGAATTGATGCTTCGGAAGCTGCTTCATTTGTTGGATATGATGCTGCCTCCATTGCTACAACGCGATGAATGTCATCTTTATTTTTAAGAAGGGAGAGGTGGATCTGCTTGGGCAATAACATGACGGTAGCGATGATTTTCGAATTGCGGCAATCATTTTAGAGCAATGTTATGAAGAATTTTCAGAAATATGCTTGGAAAATGTGTTTTATAATAGTGATATTTTTACTATGATTTTTGCTCTCCAAACATGAATAAAGACTTGAAATTTCGTGGCAGAGAATAATTTTATGTAACCCATCTGGATTCTAAAGCTATAGAGCCGCTTGTGATGAATTTATATTCTCATCAATTCCAGGACCCACATAAACGGCTCGAAGCTATTTCAGGTCGAAACAGAACATACGTCGTTCCACACAGCGACATCTTTGCCTCCCATCTCGCAGACGAATGACAAAATAGTTATTTATCGTTGCTGGGCACTCAATTGAGTTGAAATGAAAGCCTGATTGGTTTACTCCCGAGAAAAATGCGCTATTCAGTCGCCCAGATTATGAATTGGCTCACGTCACAATGACATCGTCACGCGTCGACGGTGTGATACTTACGATAACCAGGTCAGACGCATAATGTGTTAGCCGGTTAGGAGAAGTTTTTTATTTGTATGTCGTTATTTAATCACCAACTATTTGTTGCTTTTGAACGTGTCTCACCCACAGCGTCGTGAAGCGGGCACATAACACCCGATCTCAACAAGATATAATCTGTGATGTTGCTTTAAAGCTTATCTGGATGGAGCAGAAAATCGCGTTGTATCGATTGCTTTCATCCTAAGGCTTGCTTTACTACAGCACGTAATACGGCCTGTGCGGGGTGTGTTCAGTGGAAGCACAGAGTGTGGTGATACTTACCTGACAAGTCAAATAAGGTTAAAGCGTAGATATTCCAATCTAAAGCTTCTTGACATACCAAAATTTAACGAACTGATACAGCATACACAAAGCTCTAATATACCAAAACCAGCTCGCTGTACGTAATTCAAAGGATTGCTATATGATGCACAACGTGCAAAATAGCAAGAAAGAGTAACCGTGGGGGAGTTGACGAACAAAAAGAGCGGCGAACCCAATTACCGTTGGGTCAGGATGACTATATACCGTGCCCTCCCAAGCATTTCTGTGATGGATTTGTAGAAAACAGCTGTATGTTGCTGTCTCCTATGTTAGGTCTCGTAGAGAGCGGAATAGATTAGGTGCCGTTATCTCCCGTAATATTCAGAGCAGTCCTAAGGGTTGTGGAACTCCCCTCACTGCCATTGGCAAAAGATCTTATAGAACTGAGAAAACGATCTCTCTTGGATGTGTGCAGTCACTCGCAAGACGGTTAGTCGCCACGAAGGTCGCGTAATGCAGAGGAGGAGCTAAGCTCGTCATTCGTAATGGGCGAATCTGCCGTTGAGAACACTGGCAGAGCACGAATCGCGAGGATTGAGGCATCTATCCTTGATAATCTCACGGGTACTTTCTTGTCGGTGAGACTCCTGAGCTCGGGAATGAGTAAGCTGGGCTCCGTGGGGCAGGTCCAGCTCGCTGATGTCAAGATGGACTTCGTCGTCAAGTGTACGGCGGGATGTCGAAATTGTCTAAGCTTTAAGAATGGTCATTAAGTCCTTTTAGTGTGGGATATAAAGAGTCCCCCTCCTCAGTGGACGACTTAGTTGTTTGCCTTTAAGTGAGGACGTAGGTGTTTGGTCAGAAAATCAGGGAGTCACCCTATACTACTGAACTGTGGACCACATTAGGGCTCACACAAAAAATTTATTTTCATGATACTGCTCCAGAATGACCGCTCCATTGCGCAACTCCGCTCTCAGCACTTTACCGAGCCTGATTTATAAGCGTAGCTACATTTAAAGTTCGCTCCTGTACACGAAACGGAATGGATCAGCGTACCCCTACTATAAGCTCCGTCTTCGCGAACGACCCGCTCAAAGAAGATCTTAGTAAGGATGCCGAGGTGCTCTCTGATGAGAATTGTCCCATTAACTCTCCGAATCCCGACTAAAAATTTCTGTCTTCACCAGACAATACACAGCTTAGCCATTTTCCGGGGGGGGGGTATTTTGCCTAGCTTTCCTGCTGCACGAGTATCAGGCTCCGTGCCCTTTTTTATCAGCTGAAACCAGAAACCCGTTTTTATCAGCTGAAACCAGAAACCCGTTTTTATCAGCTGAAATCAGAAACAATTTTTTAGAACTCGCGACGACGTTCGGCTCGCCGGTAACGAGATAGATCTGGCTGAAGAAGTCCAGATCGCTGTACTGTAAGTGCAGGAGTCGCAGCAAATGTTGCCCAAATCACGTCGTGATTTGGGTTCTAATCCGCCCAAGTCGCTTGACTCGCTGGTATGGAGTTTCTATACGCTTACGCGCGCAGGCCCCCTTCCCACGTCCTGAACAAAACAAGCACAAAATATTTGCTTTGCAACCCACAAACAATCACTTCTTTGAAGTAAAGTCTATACTAGGAGCATCAGTGGACGGGGAGACCTGTGTATTACACAAGGAATGTACCTTGTTTATCAGCTAGCAAAATCACTCATAGCTATCAGACTCAACTTGCGCATTTGGCGAGAGAAACACGCCGGCTCGCCGTCTTAATGCAAATTCCGCTTTGTATATCTCTACCCCAAATACTGTCCCATGCTCGACTGTGCAAAGTACGAGACACGACGCGAACGTCGAGTTGACAACCCATTGTCATAAGCTACTGTCGTTTACAGACTCCCACATCTCCATCAGCTGTAATAGCTACCTGCCATCAGACTTATTCACCGCAACGGCAATTGCCTCTTACTAGTTGGATTTCTCTGCGAAGGGCAACCCTGTCACGTTTTCTAGGGAAATAAAGATCAAGGGTGCGCCAGATCGTAAGCGGTCACGGCAAAAGGGAATTCTTGTCTAAGCGCAATATTAAGCTACCAAGATTTTTTAAATTGAGAATTAAACTATCACCTTATCATGTACTAATAACAGCCCTGGTTTATCCACCAGCCCACCAAGCATTCAACGCAAAAGTAGATCGCCCCATCCGTATCGAATCTTGCCGACGACAATAAAATTTTCCTCGCGAGTCTTCAAGTTTGTGGTGGCCTGTCATTTTTTCCGTGGTTCACGACATACATCCGAGGCTAATATGATCCAGGTATCAGGTTTACTCATTGAGTATCGCCATCGCACTGCCTGGCTCAAGGCACCACAGCGGTCAAGAAAAACCGCGTCGCTGCTTAAAGTAGAGGATTGATCAGCTTTATGCCAAAGACGTTGCTTTGCCTGCGAGGGAATTCTTCACTTTCGATTAGTTTTTAGTAAGGTGGATCGACCAGCCCAACATAAAATACTGAATGTTTTCGCATCGTCTTAAATATTCTAGGAGTATAACCCAAACTATTTTTGCTCTGACCGTAAACGACCCCGTCGCTGCTTAGTCGTATAGATTGCAGACACTGTATTTGTAGGTTGGTTAATTGGATACAAAAGCACGCTTTTCTTCATAGAATAATCATGCATGCTTCGCCTACATCGGTATAACACTTTTGTTCGTCTTGGCTTCTAGCCATAGCGTCATGCACCCTGCGTATGACACTTAATTTCAAAAGGATAAACTCACTGGTTTGATCCGAAGTGTAGCCGAGCTGTTAGAATCAACACGTTTTTAATCGATCCCACCCCCTTACATCGAAGCCAATACGTGGCGATGTCAAATGTACGCAGGGGTTCATCATATCATTCATGTAAAATGAAAAGTTTAGAATCTAGGGGCATATAATGCGTATTTAAACGCAACTGAATGGTTAACAGCGACTGGTTATGACATTGCAGTCTCTATGCGCGTATACTTTGGGGAGTTTTCTCCAAAACGCGATTCGCGCTTATACATATATTTGCGTTTTGTGAGCGGTTATCAACCTGTTGCCAAGCACCCTTGATAATGTTTTTCAAAACTTTGCTATAGAGCGCAGATCTCTATCTTATGCCATGACTACCGACCAGCGAATGCTAGCGATGCATTGTGCCTAGGATTAGCTTGGTCGTACTCTCGTCGGTCATGTTACGCTGGGAACAGCGAGATTGGCGATCTTGCTCCGATAGTCCTTAAAAGAATAAATATCATTAGACGCATCGCTTGAACTATTGACAATGAAGTCCTTACTAATTGCTGTCAGCACTTTGCCAAAGCCGATAGGCTGGGCAAAGGTGCCGCCGTGATGAGGTCTTATCCGTTTGACTTTCAAACATGCGCGCATGTGTGTTTACCAACTTATATTCGGCTACCAATACATAGCGCTCACCGAGTGGTATGCTCTTTTTATTTGGAATGGCCACCCAAAGAGGTTCGATGTGCCTCGCACGGTATTCTGCACTTGAAATCCTCCGTTTAAAGCACCACTGTACACTGTAAACAACAAAACTTGAATTAGGGAACAACAGTGCAGGCGTGCAACCTTGCGCTTTGTTAAGCGACATCTCAAATCCCTTGATTTCTGAGGCTTACAGCAACAAGTCCCATTTCGCACCGAGCTATGCGCTTCAAGAATTTCTTAATAAACTAACCGAAAACACAATGGTGACATGGCACAATTTCCAATCGGGGTGACGCGAAAGCACATTCGCGGCCGCTCAAGCAACCCGGTGTATTTATTACAAAGTTTACCCTGCAAAAAACATTTTTCCATTCTCTGCTAGGATGTGGTGATGACGTCGCTGTTCGCAACGACGCATAGTCTGTATAGATCACAAACGGCTTGGAGTCAAATCGGTGTAAATTGCGTTTGACAAGGGTGTCTTTAGAAAATTGCAGCCTATTACAGAGGTTTTAGCGTCACAGATGACGTTGAAAGACCGATCTGATGTTGGAAGAGTTAAAATCGGGGCAAGCATATGTATTCCTTTTACATCCTCCAAAGCCGCAGCTTCCACCACACCCAAAAAAAGAAGATTGGTGAGGGGTTGTGCGACATCAGCATACTTCACACTGTTCTTGTGCAAGTAGTTGGCTGGGTCGGGCTACTTCCTCGAGTCGTTTTAAACAGAAGCACTGGCCATCGGCCTGTATTCGGGCAAAATCTGTCTGCACGCTCTGCGTCCCGATGAAACAATTCACAGAGGAGCCTTCGCCGGCGCCAATATACGCTCGTATGTATTCGAGTATACAATCGAGCACCGCTACCAATCGCGATTAATGATATTTTCTTCATCCGACTTCCTACGTTCTACACGGCTATTATTATATGTATCGTCGGAACAGGTTTGCGCATAGCCGCGATGTGACCTGAACAGCAGTAATACCTGGCGATTAAAATGCAACTGATTTTAATGACAGTCCCAGTAATATCACCAGCCACTTCTGGAGCATCCCGCTCCGAATAATCACCGCAGTAGAAATAATCCCGCTGCTTCTTATAGACAGTAGGTACTATCAATGAACAAAGTCTAGGTCACTGAACAAAGTAAGCCAACCAAGCTCTACTGCAGCGCGTCCTTTCCGGCGTTTGCCCAGAATCGTGACTGCATTTATGTCATTCATCATGATCAAATCGCCGGCTTTTCCTGTTAGTCTTTTGATACAGAACATCGGTACCAAGTGTGGAGCTTATTTTTCTTTCCTGACTAACGCTCTTCAAATTTTGCACGAATGGTTGCCTCAATGACGTTAGCCCGTTCTCTCGAAAAGGGTATTGACATGTATCGCAATATTTGGTTTCAGGAATCGAATCAAGTCAATCTCATGATGCACTCCCCTATTCGTGTTAGCACATATGGTGGAGTTCTCGTCACCACGTCGTGGTATTCCTTCAAAGCACAAAGAGTGACACTGGAAAATCTCTTCTGTGCCGTTTATCAAATGGTGCAACCAGCCACCGGTCGGTGAACACATGCAGCCTGAAGCTTCGTTGTGGTTCAGACACCATGCCAATGCATCGGCGGTATCCTGCACGAGTGTGCGTCCGGAGAGTCTGCTCGAAGTGCAGTTTGGCATCCGAGTGGAACCAGATCGGTGTCAGAGACCGTACAGTGCCCGCTCGCCCAGTGGGAGGTAATACTACGTGATCTCTTAGCGCGTCTTGAACCACCCAACCTGTGTCACTCACCACCATATCGACGTCGGGCTCTGCTTGAGCAAGTCGACGTGGTGAATCGGGGATGTTTTAGATCAATAAGTAGATGCATCTTTAATCATAAATTTTCAAAATTACACCAAGTTTAAGGTGAAACTCGTATAATTGTACTGTACTGATATAAATATGCAAGGGATAGGTACGTAGATTCTGCGATTGTTTTAGCATAGAACCAATGACACCCTCACCAGTAATAGCTTTTATATCGTTGGTTGCGTGACCGCAGATGCCCACGAGACTTCGATGACTCCTTTATTTCGTTCGGACCAGACAGCTTTTCTTCTGACGCCCTCAAATTGACACCAGCGCTTGACTTAGTGTGTCCCATTTGACCACTAGCATGTAACAGAGTGGGTGAAGATACGCAAAAATGAGTGAATGAAGATACGTAGAATACGTAGAAAGGAGTGAGTGAAAATCCCCACTGAGGATGATGGTTATGAAGGATGTGCAATGCGGCCTACTTATTGCTGGGTAAGTCTTCTGAGTGAGTTTCAAGAGTTTCCGATCAGAAATTGCTTTTTAGAATTGGACTATACTCATATAATTTCAACATGACATTTGGCTCAATGGTTTGCAGTGGTGGCTTTAATCTGTTGAGTGAGGATTCGAGTCCCGCAACGGTCGAAGTTAGGAAGCGGTTACTTGGTGTTTGGGGTTCACCAAGCTCCCCACCAGAAGTCACGTCCCTGACCCATCTTTTGATCTTTGGTAATAAGATTTGCTATGTGCTGTATCCATACTATCATCAGGTCGTATATTAGATTAAATACTTTATAGCGTCTAGGTTCAATTGGAAGTCATCACGTCTATAAACTAAAATATAGACAAACCTTGCAGCGGGCTACCGTAGATCTTTGCTTAGAGGAAGCTTAGCTAAGGTCACCAACCTTACGTTCTCCAGTACGAGTGTAGCGGATCGCAATCCGCTACCTCCAAGTACTAGAGGCCTTAACCAAGGCCAACGAACACTTCTGTTCAAAATTGAAACTGTATTTAGTTGTTTTAGTTGCGGCAGAGTTGCCAATATCTAAAGCCCTGGATTTTCCTACTTAATAAAGTTATATGCATTACCACTGGCAATCCTGCCACGTGGTCGCTACTTGTTACGATGTAGCCACAGCACTGTGTTATTACACTAACTGTGTAATAGACACTCGCATAATCTTGTGCGGCCCGCCTTTTCTTACTAGGGTACGTGACAAACTTTCACTGCGCCGTTGTGACGAGGCTAACGCACAATGCGGTGGCGGTTTTTTTGATAATGGAGATTCATCATTCATTTGAGTCACGTGGCTCAAAAAGCTGCTTTGTGTCCTGGGCTGTCCGTCGTTTCACGTCGCGCAAAACGCGTATTCAGTGGCTTTCTTCTTCTGTAAATTCTCTGCCTTTTCAACAGCTTCTCCTTTACTTCGATCAGCGTAATTTCCTTGACATTCGCACGATAGAAGGAATCAGCTCACACATTATCGGTAGACTGATTACTCAGAAGCATCATTAGCTGTCTTGACTTATCCCCTTGTGATGGAAACATGACGTAATAAAAATATCACCAACTGCCAACGCCCTCAGCAAATTGTCTTAACTCCCGCCGTGTTTTAAACAATCGTCCTTCGACTACACCGCGTCAACCTTTACCCCTCCACTTCTGGCATCGACGTTTAAAGGCGAGTGTACTAAATCGTACACTCGCCTTTAAACTAAATCGTACATAGATACCAATGTATCAACACCGGCTGCAGTGCTTTTATATGGTGCTCAAGTATGTAGGACTTAGAGAATGCGTTCATGTTTGGGTGATACTTGGAAGTCACGTTGCTAAACACTTTACAGCAAGACATCTAGACAAGCAAAATGTTGAAATAAAGGACCAATTCTTAATGGGCTATTGGAGAGTTGTTTCTCAAGTTGATCAAAGACCCAGACAGTAAATTTTCCGACTAGTTTTGGCTGAAATGGTGCGCTGTGCTACAAGTAGTACCTTGGATGCAAAGTATCAAAAGCTCACTCAGGTCTTTGCCAGCTATTCTTGCTTTCTCTAAGATGACATTCAAGACGCATTTATCTCGACTGTGCCATGCAGAAACTCCAAAAAGGCAAACACAGCACACCGAAAATTGAGTTCTTTCATTTTTGATTCTGTATAAACAAGTTTCATGAGAAAGATGAATAGAGCGAAATTCGCAACCAAAACGTGATATATCAACCAAACTAAAACATTGTAAGTGTGGAGTGAGATACTTGAAGGAGAATGTTGAAATTTCTCGTTACATTGATTGCTTTCTTCTCACACTGATAGAGTTTTATGATGTCGCCGGAAGCGAGGAGAATTTCATTCGACTGTGATGACGTAGGCACTTAGTATTGCAGTAAGTGAATGTGAATTTTGTGAAGTATTCCCCCTCAATTGGTTCAAAATAGTTGGAGCAGATTGAGCACTGTAGATAACTTTTTGGAGTGGGGAGAGCTTTAGGGGGAATGTACCACGACAATAGGTCCACGACATTCTTGCACACCATCTGCTTCCATTGAGCCGCTGAAATACCGTGATGCAAAAGAAGAGCCTTGAAATGTTCAAACAAATAAGTGTAGCCACCCCCACCGTAGCGTCGGTACTGAATCCGCTGCTGCACGTTGGTAGACAAGAGCATCTGGAGATGATAGTGGGGCTTGGCCTTTATTAAAGTTGCAATCCTCATCGAAAGACAACTATCAGAAAAAAGGTGCTGGTATTGAGAATTGGGAAACTCAACAGACTGAGACGCATGGGCGAAGCATGGGTTGATCGTCAAGACCTCGCTTACCGCTAACAGACCGATCGTGTCAAAAAGAATCGTAATACCGAAGTCCAGTAGCTCAATAAGAAACGATAAGTCAGATCCCTCGGACTCTCCATGACAATAACGATCTGCGTGGCACAAAACAAGCTTCCTCCTCTCAGCTCCAGCATCTGTCAGCACTTTGATCCACTCTCGAATTATATCCTTGAAGTTGAAAGGTTCTATCTTCTCGTCTACGGAAAATGACAAATATACTGGAGCATGCGTCCTTGCTTGTGCCTGTTTGCATTTAATGCGTGCCAAGACAAATAAGTTCGACTCACTCATTCAACAACTATGTCTAAATCATACCATTGCCAGTCCGCGAATCAAAACTTGCTCCTGTGCATTCATCTTTTTACCACTCAATTCAATTTGTTGGTATATTGCACCAGGATACGCCACACATTCCTCCCTTTTGATTCCATAAATTAGCTCTGCTTCAAGCATGTTGGCAATTCGCTCACTTTGGTCTTCAATTGACAGTCCAGAGTTAACAATGTCGTTCATTAGCGTAGTCTCGACCGTCGAGACCGTGAGTAAATGCACATCTTTCAGTCTCTTAGCTAAGCTCAATCGCTTGTTTACTAAAAGATCACGTCCTTCAACTGGCAACGTCACATCAACGACTAAAATTACTTGTTTTGAGCTATTACTTCGCTGTAATCGTTCCAGTTCTCGAAACGCTTCGTCTTCATTTTGAAGCAACATGTTGCGGCCTCCATGGGCAAAAGGAGCATGACGATAGTCAATCAAATCCTCAATACGAATCTCTAAGCTCTTTTGCGATGAAATAATTGCTACATTCGCTCCAATATTGTGCAGTACATGCTCGTGGGGTAGAACAACATCCACGTCTTCAGGATCCACAAGCTTTTGTATGGTGCGAATCATATTTGCTAAACTATGAACCTAATGCGTACCTACCAATGACTATCACTTTTCTAAATACGACTTAAGTTCACTTTCTAGCAGTTTTGGCTTCAAAAGCTATTCGTGACAATAATCAACGTATTCAAGTCCCAACCGCAAGGAACGAGGTCGTGATGAACAATCTATTTAATCGTAATAAAACTTTTCGTCCGCAAAAGAGTCATAGCCATGGAACTAAGCGCTATGATCTCCATAAACACGCACAAGCTACGTTAGGAAAGTAGGTCAACCATCACTCTTGATTGAAGTTGGTGAAAATGATAAATTGTTCTTGTAGTGGTGATATGCGAAATGCCGTAGCACTTCCTGAAGGAGAAGACTTGAACGAGTGGCTTGCTGTTCATAGTATGTTTCTTTCATCTTTTATAATGTGTAAATTCTTGATTCTGATGCTTGTGGTAGCGGTGGACTTTTTTAATGAGATTAGTATTGTGTACGGCACCATTCTAGAGTTTTGTACGTGTGAGAATTGCCCTGAGATGCGAGCTGGACCCAAGTTTGAATATTTTTGGAAGGATAATAACAAGTATAAAATACCAGCAAAGCTTGCGGCTCCAGAGTATATTGACATGCTCATGACGTGGGTCGAGGAGCTACTAAGTGACGAAACGCTTTTTCCAACGCGTGAAGGAACGTCGTACCCTCGTTGCTTTCAATCGGTTGTAAAAAACATCTTTCGTCGGCTCTTTCGAGTATATGCACACGTGTACTACTCACATTTTGACAAGATTGTCAGCATTGGTGCCGAAGCGCATCTGAATTCGTGTTTTAAACACTTTATGGCCTTTGTCACACAGTTTGACCTTGTTGATAAACGTGAGCAAGAGCCGCTAAACGACTTGATCAAGAAATTAATTCATTAGCTTATTGAAATGATCGGCTGTCGTTGCGAAGCACTATCTAAAAGGAAAGGGTCAGTGCTGTAGCTAGTCAGCTTACTAAAAATGCAACCTCCACCTTTTTTTACTATACAAGTAATGCATTTCCTTATGCACGGCAGACAAAGTCAAATGTCCATAACATCATCCCTTTACATGCTCAGCAAATCAACGGGTGGTGGAGTCTGTTGAGTCAGTTTCTCTTTGCGAGCAAAACTCGCGGTGGTGGCAGGATTAAATGGATCAAATTCTTTATCATCGCACTTCTGAACTTCTTGCTGTAAATCATCGTTGAAGTCCATGAGGTTGATTTCCTGTCCTCCAACTTCTTCTTCCTGCACAGGCTGCGACGGCTGCTTTGTCAATACAGACTGGGAAGCATTTTCCAGCTCGCTCTCTGGCTCTTCAAGAATCGTCTCTCTGACGGATACGGCAAGCATGCTCTGGATCAAGCCGTCAAGTCCCTGCGAACCCGGTGAAACCTGTTCGAAAGTCTGAACCGGGCGATTTCCGAGCATATCTTTGCGATCAACTATTGGTTTCTCCCACTGCGTGTTGCCTGTTTGATCGTGACGAAAGTAAACGGCACTACGAGAGCGCGAGTAAACGGGATACCACCCGGACTCAAGCACAAAATTAGTTTCGCCAATTTCGCTCCATGGACTTCCATCAATAAAAAAGTCGTACGTCTTATCTTCGTCGACAAGCGTCACCACAAGGTCCAGTTCGTGATGATCCTCGAGATCATATTCAAACTCCCACATGTTGGCATGAATGTCGTCAAAACTCACTCTTTTGAGTTCCCGACAGTCCAACACGACAACAAATTCGCCTTCTTCCAAATCTCTAAGCTCGAGCTTATGAATGCTCTTGCCATTCACCCCAAACGCAAAGGTCCATGTCAACAAAGTTCCAGGTGGACGATTTCCTCCATCACTCAAAAGTTCTCCACGTGTATCTTCCACGCGACGTACATACATGTCACTACTCCAAACTGAAGCCGAATGGATACGAAAAGCTACGGGTAAGAATCGTTCCGCCATCTGATCCCAGTGTACCCCATCAGCCAGTAGATCGTAAATTGTTTCAAGTTTTCCTTGATCCACTACAGAAGACTTAGCGTCCCGAATGACGACTCGAAAAGGCATCAGAGTGTCTTCCCCCACCTGAAAATCATAGTGCCAGTTCGTCGCGTACTGGTCAGATGTAAAGAGATGACGGCCATCCAGTTTCAATCGTTTCTTCGCCGATATACGACTGTGTTCAAGCATAACAGTGTGTACTTGCTCTGATCCAGCAAGTACGAAGCGCCAAGTCACACGTTTCTTCGACATGGGTACTCGTGCACCAATGTTCTCCACCTCTTTTGATACACGCAAGACGGAGCTGCTAGTACTGCCGTCATTAGTACCAGTAGAAGCTGTAGAGTCAATACTGCCACGTACACGGCGAGCCTTTGCCAAGTAGTTGGCATCGCCATTGCTGATGTTGCTGCGGACTCGAAGCGTCGGAGGAGAGAGTGACATGGTGCGCGCGAGAATGATTGTTTCACGAAATGATTTATTTAATGTAAAAAAAAATTGGATTCTAGCATAATCAGAAACTTAAAAATGTAAGGTTAAAAAAAAACGAAAACAAAAAATTGGTTAAGGATGAGTTTCAACTTCAGTTGAATATGCTTCCTTTTGCCCTTTTCCTTCAATGACGTCGTTCATCCAGTCCGTAAGCTTGGCGGCCAATACCGTAGCTCTAGTCTTCTGTATATTATGTCCACCTTTTTTAAAAGCCAGTCGAGGGCCTGGATGGCATTCAGCGCTAACGTCCAGAACAATCTCCTCCTCGAGAAAAATATCATTTTTAGCCCAGGCGAGAAAACTTGGAAGTGCTTGGTTTTTCTTAAGATGCTCAGCATATAATTCATAATCAGCCGTGGCACAACGCACGATTCCAGTAGTAAAATAATTTGGAAACTTCATGTCTGGAAATTTGTACACTTGCAAAAACAATTGTCGAGTAAACCATTTCGCTATACTTTCGATTATGGGAACTCCAGATTGTAGTGATTGATATACGATGTCGTTAAAACGAGGCTTTAAGGCTCGATGAGGGCGATGTCCTGCTCCGGCAAAGAACACTAGGCCTTTGATCTGGATTTTTTGCTCGCCATCATTAAATGCTGTCAGGTGCACAGCTGTGTGACTTCCAAACGAATGACCAAGCATAAATACATTGTGAGAGTCTTTAAGAACATGTTGCAGTGCTTTTAACGTAAGTTGAGCAGAAGAAATCGAGCTAATATGCTTGTAGTAGTTGCTCGTGTCGAGGATTGTCGAGCCTGCAGATCCTGGTATGTTGACACCAATGACTCGAACGCCACGGCCTTTAAGCAGCGGAATGAGGTGGCGAAAATCTCGATACGTTCCAGGAGTACCGTGAATTACGACCACCGTTGGCGTTGTCGCATTTAATATCTTTGGCTTGACGTCGATGTACTCGATAATACACTTTCCATCAACATCAACACGCAATGATTGTGGAAGCTCAGGTGGTGAAATTTTTCGTGGGATACTCAGTGGAAAGGGTAGTTCTATAGGATTGAGTGGTGGTGTAGACGTTTGTTGACCTACCAGCAACGAACCGGAACATCGCATGGCGAGTTCAGTAGAACGTGGCAGTCTCCAGATGCGACGAGACAATGATTTGATCATCGTTAAGAGTATTTCGATTTGACGTACACAGATGAAAAATATTGTTTTCAATGTCGTGCCTCTTCGGATCATTACTCGATAAATTATCTGGACGAAACGGACACTACTAACCATGAAAGCACGCCATTGAAACGATTGATGCGATAGAATACAGAAAAGGTTTGCGCCCGTAACCACCAGCAAAGTCTCGATGAATAAACAATACGTCCGAGAAACGTCAAACTGACACAACTACTTTGCACATATTTTTTACAAATTCATCCTTGGTTTCGGAATAGACTTCGCTACGCCTTCTGTTTAACGACTATTTATATCCAAATTGTAGTTAAACTACTTGTAGAAGCCCACAATTGTTATTATAACATTATTGCTCACAATTTCAGTTTAGAAACTTTCAAAATTAAATTTTATTGTCCTTCAAGTATTCGAATTTGACGTTTTTTTATAGCACATGATGAGGACGCACGACTGCCTAATAGTCCGCATACTAATACAAAAAAGTCCTCAAAGAGCGAGAGCAAGTTCTTCGCGTCTAGAAACAGATGTGAAGGCGTTTTGAATACATTTCATCTAAGAATTGTTCGTTCAGAATGCACCAATCAATTTCACAAACTAAAAAATAAAAATGCAAATGCATCATACGCTACTACTGTTTCTTCATATCGCTCCTACGATTGCGCTGATACCGAACTTAACTCAAGACAATGACCATCACAACAACACCATCTACTCTCTCCCTTCAAATGGTGTTATTAGTACCAAATCGTTGTATCAATCACGCGTGTACACAACCGTAGCATTCAAGAAAAGCATAAGTGCCAACAACACGTCAGCAATAGACACAAGCCATACAACAGACAATGAGAATGAAGAAAGATGGATTGGGGATGCATTGTTACACAGCTTACGTGATATGATCTATAAGCTTGCATTGAAATTGAATGTGAGTCCAAGATTCATGTATTATCTTATGGGTGTTGGCTTCACACATCTTCACTTTCGCAATGTACGGTCGAATGTTATGAGCTGGCTTCATTACGTCAAGGGGCATAGTCTTCGTAATCCAAGTACAAAAGAAAGTTTGTATCACTCGGAAAGCAAACTTTACGGATTGCTACGAAAGGCAAATCCAGATAATAATCTCGCAGCATTTTTTCGCTTACTTCGAAAATCTCCACAACATCTCGAGTTAGGACATAAGATGGAAAAGTTTATGGCTTCACGCACATCCACAGGGGCTTCAATGCGTCAAGCTTGGTTACGTGCTGGAGATTCACCTCATGATCTATTTTTCTACTTACATCTCGAAAATGAGGTGGAATTGATCGATAATCAAATTATAACTGAGTGGCTCCTCTATTGCAATATGCACAGAGATATGGTGAAACGAGAGTTTATACAGGACGAAGTCTTTCACGACCAAGTCATTAACTTATTGAAGACGACAAAATCGAATCAGGATCTCGAACGTGTGTTCCAATCGCTTTATAAAATCGAGGGGATGGAGGATTACGCAGACGAAATGGCTGGGGCAGTGAGACGACTGAAAGAAACTCAAACGTGGCTTAAGGCACGTAAGCATCCAAATGATGCTTATCATTCCTTAAATCTCCATATTGAACCATTGTCAGACAACATTAAGTTTATCCAGTGGCTTCGATATGTCAATATGTACATGACTTTACCGGACACTTCGCCATTCACAGTATTATCTGCTCTTGACATTGTGCTTCGTGAAGGAGATGGGGACTATAAGCTGGCAGCACTTTTCCAATTGATTCAAGAGATTCCAAATTTACGTGAGCTTGCTCAAAAAATGCAATTTCAGCTCTTTAAGCGGTGGGCAGTCAATGACACGATATCACCGCTTGCACTCTGTAAAATGAGTGAGATTTGTGCGACCAAGATACCGAAGTTGGGGAAGTACAATGTAGAGGTCAGCTCGGTCGCTGCTTACATAAAAGTGTATATTAAATTTCGCAGACAGGAAGATTTATTGAATGAAGTGATGCCAATGCTCGACAAAGACGACGTATATGGTGCTGCTTATCTATTGGCGAAGGAAAAGTTAGACTAGATTGCAGATTTAACAGCTTTTGCAAGATAAGATATTCGAAATTCAGAGTTATGCGATTTTCATGTAGCTTTAGGCTTAATACCAACTGCTCTAATGATGATTGCAATCGCTAGTTTGTGTGATCTATGCAGGGTCATGACGAGAATTTTTAAATACGCGATTGTGCTGATAAATGAATCAAATTCACAAGCTGTGACGCTTTTGAGGACGATAATGGACTGATGTCATGCGATTATGAGTCGCTTTTTGAGCTTGTCGACCTTGAAGAATGAGTTGTTGACGCTCTCGTGAAAATTCTACCGCAAAGTTTGCTATACATCCCAGCAACTCGTCAATCGGTAGCGAAGTCACTTCTTCAAAGTAGTCATAGAACCGTTTTCTCTGTCAAATTGATTCAAGGTTAGTGCCGTAAGTTGTTTTCAAGCTCTAAACCATGACTTACTTTGTTTTCCAATGTATTTACGAATTCTTGCACATTTTCAAGCTCTCGTTTGACATCCATCACGTAAAATTTCATACTTTCTCGTGATTCCATCAAAAGTGCTCGTAAATTGGCGTCATTTGTCTCATATACTGCTGCCGTTTGTGTTTCGTTTATCAAGAGGTGAAGACCAGTTTGAAGTACTTGATATTCAGCAAGAAGGGTTTGATATGATAGCTTGCTACACTTGGTAATCAGAGAAAGCTGGTCACTAAAAAATGCGAGGTGTGGTTCATCGCGCTGCCATAACAATTACAATCATTAAGAATCGAAAATTTGGTGTTGTATCAATACAAGAACAAACTTACTTCGACTGACTGAATGACATACTGCAGAAATGTGATTTGACCATCATAAGCTTTGGTAAACGACAGTTTTGCCAGCGAACTGATCGAGATGCTCTTGATAAATTTTGTGTACTCCACGTCTTCACCAAAATTCAACAAGTTGCCCAAATGAAAAATATATTCGAACACGCCAGCAAAACGATCACTTGCACACACTTGTTCAATACCACGACTCAATAAACTTAAGTTCTCGCTACATAGAAAAACAAGTTAGTAAGATTTATAAGAACACGTAGCGACAAAGACGTACCGAAGTTCTTTTACTCGTGATTCAAAATCAAGTTTGTATTGAAGGCAGCGCAACTTTTGCTGAGCTCTCGGGATCTTAAGCGCAACGATCAAAAATCGCTCGGCCTGCATATCGAATTTAGAAAAAATCGACTCAGTCAGTTCAAATGTGTGAAACACTTGATCGGCAAAAAGTGCAGAACTCACAGTAGCAAGAGTCGCTACATCGCCACGAAATTGATGTATTGCATCCTGCTCGGTACAATCCGGCCACATGTCAATTAAAGATTGAAGAGCAGTACTCGATAATGCATTGCAATTAAGCGTCAAGATATCTTGTGTGAGCTCGAAAAACGTCCGTTTCACACGTGCAAGTACAATCGCAATGTTTTGTGATTTTTTCAAGTCCAGAAGCATCACAAATTGCTTGCGCTGAAACTTAGGTTTCGTTGCTGAAAGCTCATCCATTTCGACTTCTGGTTCAGGTTCCAAATCGCTCCAATCATCGACAATTACACAATCTCGTTTCGTCGTTTTTGAATGTGAATCTGTCGTCGTTTGGTCAATAATTCCACTCTGTGTATGTCGTTGACTGCCACTTGCAGTTGTGCCAGCTTTAACAAATAGTTTGTTCATCCATTGCCGACTTTCACTTGAAATACACACGCGATTATGTAAATCTTTCGTATGTATTTGATCCCAGAGAGAATTATGTCCAGATGGAAAAACAGAGTCCGTGTATATTGTTGTAGACCAATGCACCCTCTTGCGTGTTCCTATCTTTGTTTTACAAAATCCTTTTTTCACCACGTTTTGGTCAGTGGTCGAAAAACATGAAGGTTTTGCTGAAGCATCAGGTGTAGACGGAGCGGTAGAGATGATTGAGCTGATGCTAGAGCGTCTGGACAATGTCGCAATGTTCGCTGGTACAAACTCGTCTAACTTCGTGGCCTCAGTTTTCAATTCAGCTGGTTTTACACCATCTCTAAGTGCTTTCATTTCAACAAGATGTCTAGGAACACCCACTTTAATCATCCGAAGAAACGACTCAATCTTTTGCATGTGCTCGATATCTTTAACGTCTTCTGGTTTCTCAAGAAGTGATAGTTCAAGACGCTTTGGTTTTTGACCTTTTTGTATTGCTAGAAGTTTGTCCAAAACCTTTGGATCTTTGTTTTCAGCACGCAATTTATGATCCACCACAATGCGTGGCAAACCCACTTTAAGCATATGTAGATAACTTGCATATTCGGTCTGAAGTCCAGTCAGTTTAACTGCAGAGTCTTCTCTTTCAGTTACCAAAGCCAATGTCGGTGGCAACACCTCGTTTTCTTTTAAATTCACTTCCTTTTCATTCCCCTTTTCAGCCGCTATCGCCATTGTCTTGTCGACTTGTGAACACTGTGATGATTGGTGACAGCATGTTGGTAATTGACGGTTATTGCACGCATGGGTATGAATGACTACACGGCTCCAGCGCACGTATGCAACGAGCACAAAGCTAATAATGAGGTGAAAACTAAGCCAATAAACACTTAAGGATGGGCACGCGTCGCAATGTAATGCCACAGCGTCAACGCAAACCAAATTCCTGGTGCCATCATCAACTGGACAAGGTCCATGCGTCCCCATTACCACTGAAATAGGCGACGTGTGCGATCGAGACTACTATCGCGCTTATGCGGTGAGAGTTTGTATAGTAGAGAGTAGACTATAGACTATGTGCGCCAAGAAGATTCGCAGCAGAAGTTTTAACGGCCATTATGCCCATCGAGTACGAAGTCATTAAGCAGCCAGGCGAGAGTATATAAAACGCATCCCTAAAGTGACAACTCGTAAGATACATATTGATGATAAATTAGAAGTAGTTGCTTATTGAAGCTATTCATGCTTTTTTCAGCGAATGTTCTTTGGATGTTCTGAATTAGACTTAAATGATGAATGTTATTGTTTGCACCTTTTCGTGAAAATTGACCAATAAAAGAGTCGGCTGTTCAGCAGGCTGCTACGAATTTTTTTGATCTAATTACTTCAGCTGCTGCTCGACTGGTCATGGATTGAAGTCGAGCGCTATATTTAATTGGTGCATGAGTATGAATAGAGCAATTGCCTTGTATCTGTTTTTCCAAAGCTCAAGGTAGAAATTTAGACTAGCGTCTCTTCTGTTTGCCAAAAACAGTTGCACTCGTCGATAAATATTGAAGAAGACTTGAAGTGGTATTTACCGGTACTCGAATTATTTTAATGAAGAAATGAGAGCAATTGAGAGTTTGAATTTCGACTATCTGGTTAGATAAAAATAAAACTTTTAATTTCAATCTTCATCTTTTCACTGCAACGACCAATTTTTGTAATAAATAGCAATGGATTTTTTTCTAACGTCGATGGAAACATTTTCTTCTATTAGGAACATTGTGTTGTGGTCAATGTTCAAGTGCCTGTAAAACGTTTAAAAGACCTTCGACTTGCGAATTTGAAACGGTATAATTAAAAGTATACACTGTAGTAGACCGCGAATGGTTTTTGCTGCTTGATATGGTAGCTGAGCACAATCAATACTGACAAATATTCCGCATCCATCACGCAATGTCGCGTCAGGAAATCGTCTTTGTATCTTCGTATATTTCGATTTCTTTTACTTGTCAACAGATTCAGCGCCTTCCTAATCTACCGAGTAAACGACAAAACTCAGTAGTATAAATACTTGCGTATTTGTTTTGTGGTATGAAACATGGGTCAGGTTCTATTATCTTCTGTCGACTTACCCCTTTCGTTTGCTATCACACGATAAAGCAGCCGCTTTCGAAACGGCAGGTAGTGGATTTGATCCCGTGACGCGCAGTACAAGTATCTCAATCATTTCTTCATAACGTCGATTGATCAATAGACCTAAGCCAGACAGATTTGAAAAGCGTGAGAGAGATCTCCCGCGAGTACGTGCGTTCGAAATGGCTAAGTACATTCCGTCTTGTCTCTTAGGTGGAATACAACTCAACTGGATCATATAAAATCCGGTGTGCTCGCCAATACCATAGTCTACGTTTTCGATCATCACAGCGATGTTCTCGCCCTCTGTCGCGCGCAGCGTAATGTAGTGCGCAAACATGCTGCGTTCAAATGCTTTGTTGATACTGATGCGTGGCACGAGAACCCAAACTACGTCATCATTTTTAAAGTACGCGCATCACAATCGCAAATTGATTTTCAACCTATATTGCCGGCATGCGCGCACTCTTGAGATGTCTTCTTTGATGAAAATGGCTCTAAACGCTTCTATGTAAGGGCACTGAATGCTTAAAAGTCAGTTAAAGATGTGGGTAGTGGATCTTCTGTAAGAATCATTTTCGTCACTCAATTGTTTGAAGAGCAGTCACAGCTGTCGGTCCACGTAACTTTACTTAAGATTGATTCGTGACCTTCTTTTATCTATCAAAAAGTCTTCGGCGGCCGCCGGGGCAGCACCAACTTAATCTGCAAAGCTGATCCCTTTTGAACCTTGTATTGTAGTTGTCGCCGGTAGTATCGATTAAGAACGAGATTGCCAGTAAAGTAGTAGCTAGGGGTGTGAAGATATCTTGCGGGCAAAGTGAAGTGAGATGGAGGATCTACGCATTTTTTCAATACTGAACCGACCAATTGTTCTTGAAGGTTTAATTGCAGATCAGTGCAGAGAAGCTGGATTAATAAGCTGACACTCTGTCGAAAGCCTAAATCGACCAGCAGTCGGAGCATAACGCCCAGTCCGCGCGACCGAATGTCGTCTGGAAGTCAAATGATATTGTTAATGGTTTCGTCGCGGCTCGTGTTAGGTTTTGCAAGTCGACGAGGAAGCGCACGGTGGTGAATCATGTTGTCCTTGACAAAACTGTTTTGGTCGAAATGAGGATAACACTTTGACGCTAGGGCTTTGAGCTGCCCCTTCAGCCTGGCCATGATCAGATAAATTTGGCATGGCTCAATGCGCGAGCTTTTCTTGCGCGGCAGTACGATCATCGATTTTTGCTGAGACGTCATCGCGTCGGAGTCGGTTATTAAAAGCTCTGCCTAAGCACTCGCCGATACATCTGGCACCACTTGGTAGAACAGAGCAGTCAAGCCTTCTATGCTTAGAATTTACTTCACGTGCCAACGAGTTTTGCTATTTACAGCATAGTTTGCGCTTTAAGTCCGAGACGAAGCACAATACCGAGTCTGGAAACTTGTCCTATTTAACGCTGTCAGGGGGGGGCTTTGTGCCAGTTGAGCTGTAGGCATCGCTGATCCTGAAGATATAGCGCTTGATGAAAGCTCAACAAGATCTTTGAGGGGTTGCCGAGACGTTCTTACTCGGCTTCACAAGTTTTTCAATCGAGATGCGCCGCATACTTTTGTACAGTAAATATTTTCTTGTCCTACGATAGTGGACGCAAGTGAATAATCACTGGAAAAGACCTGTCACATTCGATGTCAAGCTTTAACAAAATAAACATCTTTATTCTGTCGTTACGCCACCGCATCATTCGTGGTCTAATTTTACAAAACAAATTTCTATGCATGAACGTGTATCCATTTCTTCGGTCCACCAATTCAGCAAGATGAACTAGTTTGAACGGCTTTCTTACAGAAAACTTACCACATTTAAATCTGCTCGACAGTACTTTAGACAATACCAACCTTGACGAGCATCATATGGCGGTCCACTTTGCTCCATTCCGAGTCTTTTTTCGACCGATCAAAAACAAATTTAACTTTTAGCTGCTTGCCCTTGGCAGCATAAAAGTCCAGTTCATCCGAAAACTGAACTGCAAGTTCTCTTCCGTAACCCTTCTCCATACGGGCACGCAATGCTTGCACGACTTCAGTCTTTTGCGACACTTGCACCATCATATCAATCTCGCCCTTCACTCGGAATATAAGATAGTTATCCGGTTGCGTACTCATAGCCACACCGGTGAGGTGTGCAAGTTCAAAGACGCGGCGTTCTTTCGGTTGTTGGATTTTGTCGGCTTTCAAATTGAAGACACGAGTTTCACTGATCATGAGTACACGCGTTTGATGCGCCCAGCGCTCATTTACCTTTTCCACCGTGTCAAGAAATAGAAGCTTTTCTTTCGGATTGCCAGCTTTTGACCCGCGAGATCCTGTGTGGGCTTGAATGATGGATGCGTACGCTGGATATTTGTTCACGCCAATGTAATCACCCTGATACTTACGATCCAGAGAATCACGACGACGCTTTTTCTTGCCCAAGTACCGCTCAAATTCGGTCCGAACTCCAAGGAGTGCTATCTTGCATGATCTCCACATGTCGTTAGATAGCTGTTTACGAGTTCGAAGTCCACGGTAGCGCTTGCTGAAGATAATCTGTGCATGTTTAAGCTTTAGGAACTTGCGGCGTTGCGTGCGCGCTTTAGCAAAGCTCTGCATGAAAACGATCGAGTTCAAATCCTCTTCTGCCTTGAGATTTTTTACCAAGCGGCTATTGTTGATGTACAGAAGCTTACTAGACACTGTATCCCAATCTGCATACAGCTGTGCCACGCGCTCCTTGTTGCTCGAACCTGGCACACGCTTACGTCGGTCCTGGCAATTTTTCCATACGGCATCGTAAGTGGCGAACAGTTGCTTGCAAGTATTTTGAAACACGCTCAAGGACATGCGGTTTTTGTAACGGCGCCAAGCATTTTCAAGAATGTTAACAATCACTGGAATTCGCTCTTCACGCAAAATTTCTAAGGCTGAAAGAGCCTGCGGATGACGTAGGAAAATCTTGTTACGACCAAGAGAGAAACATCCAAGAGTATTCGAATCCTCTTCAAACGGAATAAGTTCATTGTGATTGTTTGGATCGCGCACACCAAGTCCAGCTGTCGTAATTAAATCAACAGCAGCCTTGCGAGAAGAGTGAGCGACCGGAGAAGGCCATGTTGACTCGGACAAGAAGCTGTAGCGCTTTATAAATGGAGCGTACGGCTGGCTATAGCAGAATCCTTGGCGGCGCACGCTCAAATTTTCCACCAAACCTAAGTACCGGACTTGTTCAGTTACAAGCTCTTTGTTTACAGCCAGCGGTTGCTTATCTTCGTTTGGTTTAATACAGCGTATATAGTGCGGGTTGCACCCATCCAGCTTCTTGAGTAAATCTGCAACTTGTGTACGAAATTGCTGCGAAGTCGATGGGGGACGCTTAAGCTTCATTTCCTTTGATCGCTTGTCGAGGTAGACTTCGCGCACAAATGAGTTGGACGAGTGTTCCATGCCGTCCTGCAAGTCGTTGAAAAAGGTGTCGACATTCGCATCAAAGAATAAGGTAACATCGTACTCAACTTTGCCAGCGTAGTGCAAGATCCCAAACGTTGGGCCGCGCACACGTGAAGCAATGTAGTGTGGATTCTTTGAATGTTCACTGTTGTAACGTTCGATTAGTTCTAGATCTGAGAGACGCGCAATGGCACACTGTTCATCCAACAATGGGAAAATTCCATGCTGTTTCGGGTCCTCTATCAAGTCGCATACGACTTGGTTGTTAAAAAACGTAATATTCTGCCAGCTCAATCCTTCACGACGGTACCCTTCCTGCTCACTCTCAAGCGTCTGGCTGATGAAAAGTTGCTGCAGCTTTTCGTTTACATAGTTAATGCACAACTGCTCGAAAGCATTCACTTCAAAAATTTCGAACCCGTAAATATCCAATATGCCAATACTGTTGCTTATGTCTCGCTTCTTGCACGTGACGTTTTGATTAATACGAGCGACAATCCAATCAAATATTTTCTCGTACAGCGACCGCATGATCGAGTCGCACACCTTCTTGGCTTGGCGAGCGTCAAACAGCACCTTCTGATCTTCACGATAAATGTTGACGATACGGAAGGTCAGTAAAGCTTCGAGCTTGTCCTTGTCGATGCCCAAGAGGCTAGCGGCTTTAACCAGAGCCTCCCGAGCCGCAGGATCATCAATTGCAGCTCGCGGGTTGTGTGCTTCGTCTGTCGTCTCCTTAAACTGAATGTTACCAAGCCACAAAATAGCTGAAAGCTGCTGGAAAATAGCGCATTGCTCATCGTCCGTTATGCCTACAGCTGTCATGTTTTGACGCACATTGCGATAGTTTTCAGCGTCGTCAACGCCTTCAATCCCAGCGTCCTCGTTGCCAAGAATATCGCACTGCTCAGCACTGAGTGGTAGCTGCCAAGCTTCCCGATCAGCGACACTTACACCCGCAATAAGTTGATAAAACGCGTGAAAATTGCGTTCACCCTCCGCCTGCCGGATCACACGACTGCGCTCCAAAAGGTAATTGTCAATGTATCCACCAATCACCTGGCCCACACGGTTCATTTGCAAAACAATATACTTACCAAAGCGACTGCTGTTGTTATTGCGGATGGTCTGTGCATTACCAAATGCCTCAAGCACCGGATTGCTGCCCCACAGCACGTCTGTAACGTGGCTCGTCATGTCGTCGACTTCTTTTCGCTGGGCGACCGACATACGACGATTGGCAATGACAGCGCTTTTGGCTCGAAAGCGTGTACTGACAGTCGTGAGGTACCGCATGACGTGCTTGGATGTTTCCGTCTTGCCACTACCAGATTCGCCTGTGATGAGTAGACTCTGGTCAACGCCAAAGCGCATGAGATTCGAGTAAGCATTTTCGGCCAGTGCGAACGGATGGGGCTCGCACACATGCAACTCTTTGCCCTGAAATCCGTCAATCATGTTTCGTGCGTAAATTGAGTCGCCGTTAGGTTGACGAAGCAACTTGTATGGGTTCATGGCAATCAGCACAGGGCCGAGGAACATGTAGACATAGCCCTGGCGATAGCGCTTGACAAGCTCGTCTACTACATGGGCCTCGTCCACGGCATCTACCATTAACAAATCCTTCATGGTGATGTCAAGGTGTTCTTGAAGAGACAATCACTCTGTAAATGACCGCGCTGCCGAATTCTCTTTTGCCAAATGACGTTGAGCTCCGTGTGGCTGACGTCTGGCTCGAACTACTGCAGCATTGTAAACCTGTAGAACTGAATACAAACTCAACGACGGACAATTAAATCGTCTTGAAACTGTAAGATTTAATATCCCTATTTACACCAAATTGTTTCTAACGTTGCACATAGGAACAGAAAATCAGCATGATATGCTCCTTACAACGAAATGCATTATGAAAACAAGGAGGTACAAGACGTATTCTTCTTGAGAATACACAATTTGATATTTGACAAGTCATCAATCCTGACCTTGAATCCGCGAGTTTTGGTATGAGTATATATGCATCTGCATGTCGACTCAAATTGTTATTTAATTTGGGTCAATAAAACTTAGTGCTCCTGGAATATTTGTGATGAATAAATAGTATTGACTTAGCAGACATGACGAAATATGCATAGTCGTACTGTCTAAGTTCGAATGTGTACGTTTGTGAACTTGGCGCGACATTTTTGTTTGTGGTATAGGAAAAATCGTCTGCGCGAAGAGTTGTAAGAAATTCAATTCACCGGAAAGGTCCGTACTTGACTTAAGAATTCTGTTTTTTATTACCCCCCATAGAAATCTTACGAACGCGATATTTGTGTTGTTATTATCGGCGGCAAAAAGACAAACTCCCAGAAAATGAAGCAATAACGCAATTGAACCACGAGCGCAGCGAAACTCCTTTTTTGCTTCAATGTCATGATGGTTATCAAAAGTACAAATATCCACGATAAATGCTGGCGCATCTACTCAAACATCCGTTTAGGGCAAAAAACAAAATTCATGATTGCGGCATTAGTTGATGAGGACCCGCTATCGTAATAGACTATTGTCCACTTTCAACTTTTGTACTATTGTCGTTTAGACACAGCACCAACGAGGGGTTGTGCTAGTTAGAGTCTCATACCGCCGACGAAATATCAAGGTTTGCCTGCAAATCAAGCATTTTTGGCACTGTAGAGGCGACTGAAAAACGACTTTTTCGACGTTTTTCAACTGACTGAATTACTTAGACGAAGAATTGTTACTCTTCGTGATCACCAGTTTCGTCGATTTCAACCAAAAGGTCGCCACCAAGCATGTTGTCGCCAACATCAGCGTGAATTGACATCACTCGGCCACTCACAGGGGCAGCCACAACAGTCTCCATTTTCATGGCGCTCAACACAAGCAACGCATCACCAGTCTTGACCATCTCACCCTTCTTCACGCGCACATCGAGCACAACACCAGGCATCGGTGCACCGACGGAGCCTGCAACTGCTGTGGCCTTCGGCTTGGCCGAAGTAGCCACCCCTGCATTCTCGTCCTTCACCCTAATCACACGCTGGCGACCATTTAGTTCAAAGATCACATCACGCAAGCCATCCTTCTTGCTCACGCCTCCCACAGCAATCAGTTTGATAAAAACCGTCTTGCCATGCTCCATTTCGATCTCGACCTCAGTGTCCACTTCAAGTCCCTTCAAGAAAGTACGAGTGTCTAGAAAATGCAACGAGCCGTATTCATTTTTGAATGTCTGGAAGCCCTCGAATACTTCTGGATAGATAGCATGTGAAATGACATCCACATCACGAATCTTGTCGGCGCCGTATTTTCCCTTTAATAGTTTCTCGGCTGCTTCAAAGTCGTATGGTTCCATCTCTGCACCTGGACGGCCCTCAAACATCTCTCGGCCATTTGGCAAAGTCCTACCTTTCAGTACACGGGAGCGTAGAGGCTCCGGGAACCCGTGGTGCGGAATGCCAAGGTAGCCTTGAAAGTACTCAACTACAGACTGAGGGAACGACAAAGTCTCTGCCTGATCAATCACCTCTTGTTCTGTGAGCTTATTTTGAACAATAAATTGCGCAAAATCACCGACAACTTTAGACGAGGGTGTCACCTTGATAATGTCGCCAAGCAGACGGTTTGAAGTGGCATAAGCACGCTTGATAGCCGGCCACTGACCTGCAAGACCAAGCTGCTTTGACTGAAACAGAAGATTTGTATACTGTCCACCAGGCATTTCGTGGTTGTACACATCTGCCGAGCCAGACTTCTGGCCAGATTCAAACGGCGCATATACGTCCCGCATCATTTCCCAGTAGTCATTTATCTCTACAATATCTTCAGTGCTGATCCCCGTATCGTACTGAGAGTCCTTCAGTGCAGAAACAACAGCACCCATTGAAGGCTGTGAGGTCGTACCAGACATTGCGTCCGAAGCCACATCTACTGCATCCGCGCCAGCATACGCAGCTTCCAGCATAGAACTTACACCCGTTCCAGCAGTGTCATGCGTGTGCACGTGAATCGGCAAGTCCGGAAACTCCTTTCGGATAGCAGAGACAAGAATCTGTGCAGCCTTGGGCTTTAGTAAGCCAGCCATGTCTTTGATAGCCAGAACATGGATCCCTTGGGCAACCAACTGACGCACAAAGTCAAGGTAGTACTCAAGATTGTATGGACCGCGGGCTGCGTCCGAAACATCACCTGTGTAACACATTGCAGCCTCAATGATACCACCAGCAGCCCCAACGGCGTCTATTCCTAACTTCATGTTTTCCAGGTAGTTAAGCGAGTCAAACACACGGAATACATCCATGCCTGTAGCCTGGGCTTTTACGCAAAATTTGAACACGACGTTATCAGGGTAGCTCGTGTACCCAACAGCGTTTGCGCCACGAAGTAACATCTGGAATGGAATGTCCGGCACGGCTTCACGCAGAATAGCAAGACGATCCCAGGGATCTTCCCGTAAAAAGCGCATGGATACGTCAAAAGTCGCTCCACCCCACATTTCAATGGAAAAAGCATTACGCATGGCTATAGCTGTAGCAGGAGCAATGGCGAGCATATCACGCGTACGCATACGTGTTGCGAGAAGCGACTGGTGAGCATCACGCCATGTAGTATCCGTTAAGAGCAAGCCCTTATTTGCACGCACAGCCTTTGCAAAGGCTTCAGGACCTTGTTCAACATAGATCTGACGAAGTGACTTCTCCTTAGAAGCAGGGGGTGCTTCGAGAGTTGGAATGATTGGATCAATACTTGATGGAGGTGGTCCAGTGGCTCCCAACGCTTTTTCAGGACCGTTCACGATTGTGTTGCCAATGTACTTGAGCATTTTCTGGCCACGATTTGTCGAATTTGACGGCTCCAGCAAGTCTGGGTTTTCCGCAATGAAGCTCGTATCTACGACACCTTTGATAAAGTCGGGATGGTTAAGCACATTTATTAGAAAGCTCTTGTTCGTCGTGACACCACGCACACGGAATTCGGACAAAGCACGTTGAAGCTTGTGAGCACAATCACCGCGGTCTAAGGCTCGGGCGGTCACTTTCACTAATAGCGAGTCATAATGGGGAGTAATATGCGCACCAACGAATCCAGGACCATCATCCAGTCGGATACCCATGCCACCGGGGCTACGGAAGACCTCAATGACACCAGAGTCTGGCTGAAATCCTGTGCTCGGGTTTTCCGTGGTCACGCGGCATTGCATGGCATGGCCACGCGGTTTAATCTTTTCCTGACTTAATCCTAGATCTTGAAAATTCTCGCCACCAGCAATACGTATTTGGCTTTGTACCAAATCAATACCGGTGATTTCTTCCGTGATTGTGTGTTCGACCTGAATACGTGGGTTCACTTCAATAAAGTAGTGGCGACCTTGTTGGTCCACCAAAAATTCGACTGTACCAGCATTTAAGTACTTAGCAGCACTTGTGAGACGCACAGCGTCATCAATCATAGCTTTCTCAGTCTTTGGGTCTAACCCTACAGCAGGAGCAGTTTCAAGTACCTTTTGGTGACGACGTTGCACACTGCAGTCACGGTGAAACAAATGCACAACATTTCCTTTTCCATCTCCCAAGATCTGAACTTCAATGTGGCGCGGGCGGTCCACGTAGCGTTCAATAAACACGGTACCGTCACCAAAGGCAGCCAAAGCTTCGGAGCTTGCACGTTCAAAACTTTCTTCAAGCTCTTCAGCACTTCCAACGACACGCATACCACGACCACCACCCCCCATGCTAGCTTTGATAATTACGGGGTACCCCACACCTGAGTCAATGAAAGCGCGAGCTTCTTCAAGGTTCCGAACCGGTCCATCCGTACCAGGAACAACCGGTACCTTTTGCTGGATGGCAATCTCTCGTGCAGCTGTCTTGTCACCAAAGCGTTGCAGATTTTCAGGAGTAGGACCAACAAATTTGATTCCGTTTTTGGCACATTTCTCAGCAAAACCCACATTTTCACTGAGAAATCCGTAACCTGGATGAATAGCATCAATGTTGTTTTCCTTGGCGATCTTGATGATACTGTCGATGTCTAGATAAGCGCCAACGGGTGACTTATCGGCCCCAACAAGGAAGCTTTCATCTGCTTTGTACCGGTGCTGAGTAAATCGATCTTCCTTGGAGAAAATGCCGACTGTGCGGAGACCGAGCTCATTTCCCGCACGCATAATGCGCGTGGCGATTTCACCACGATTGGCGGCCATGATCTTCTTGATGGTACTGGCATCACGCGTCTGTTGTAGGCGTGTGAGGCTTGAGCCCATGCGATGGCTCAAGAGAACGCGCTGGGTGCGGAGCATGAAAAGTGATGGTCTGGATAGTTCAACGGCAAATCTCCAAATGACACGTTAACTAAGCGCAAATAAGGATCGGATTTGGGGACAGCAGCCACTGTTGGTGATCATAAGAGTAGTATGTACCAGATTGATTGTTGTGATGGGCGAACAAAGACGGAGCATTTCAGTGAATTATTTGATGACGAGCTTGTTGTCATTCCATTATGCTCTTACTTTGTGGTGATATAGCCATAGTCAGTGGATTCTTATCTGATACATTAAGATCATTTTTCAATTCGTTAATTGATAAACGAACTTAAATTGATGTAAAGGCTTTATCGATATCAATTCTTGATTTTTACACTGAAAAAAACAAATTTCTTTAGTCATATATTGCACTTTGTTAGGTAAGATTACGGATTTTAAAAACATCATCAAACCTCTAAGAAAAAATGTTGTGCGGACAGGTCCACAATTCCAATCTACAAAACTTACACTGAAAAATTTACGAACGATGAGCTCGAAAATTTCCTCAAATTAATATTGACGTCTGTAAACGAAACTGATGCGATTGTTGGAAAAATTAGAAGAAAGGGGTCTCTTTGATAACATATGTAACTCTCAAACCAAATGTATCACATTACCTACATAAATATGGTAATAGGAGTTTTTCTCCGTTTCCAACCGAAGCACAAGAAAGTAAAGATACGAAAGCAAGTTGGAATCTGAACGCGCTTGTTGTATTTTTGCGATGTGGAAGAAGTAGATGAGTAAACAACATTACCCAACGAAACGATCGGCGCAGCATAGCAATCCGATTCATGTTAGTATCGCCATTTACCATTTTGCAAAACTTCTAATGCTTGAGTTCTATTACGACTATTACATTTATCGCTCTGAGATTCTGTGACGGGGTGAAACTTACCCCGGTATACAGGGGTGGGTCACACAAGATAGTGTAATCATACAATGGTGTGGCTACACCGTAACAAGAAGCCACGACGTGGCGGGACTGCTGGAAGTTCCACATTTTAATTAGGTTTTACTATTTGATTAGGAAACCCAAAGTGTGCGGCTCTGCCGCAAATAAAACAAATAAATAGAGTTTTCATTTTGAACGGAAGAGTGTATTTGCCCTGGGGGGTTTCATTACTTTTGGAAGTAGCGGTTTGCGATCCGGTACACTCATACTGGTACTAGTATAAAACAAAGGTCATCGACCTTAGCTTAGCTTCCTCTAAGCGAAGAGCTACGGAGGCCCCACTGCCCTTGGTAGAACATGTAGTCAATCTACACCTGAGTCGCTACGAGTGATCCTATGTGAAAGCACCTAAAGCAGAAAATGTTGGCGTCGACTGCGTCCATGACGCCACCGTCGGCGACGGGTGACTCCTCCCGACCCAGGCCGCTCACAGTGAGCATTAAGGGGAAGGATGGAGAGAATCTCCTGCTCTGGGTGAGAGAGGTCGAGATGGCCAACGCATCCGCCATGCTCCAGACCGAGCATGAGCGCGTGGCGCTAGCTATCTCCAAGCTCGGTGGTCGAGCGCGAGAATGGGCACTGACGTGCGATACTTCGGTTGAAGCGGCGTTTTCCTTCTGTTCGGAGCTTAGGCGTCAGCTGCTAAGAGGTTTCCGCCGCCTAACCAGGTATAACGCGTGCGATCGCGTTTCCTTGCCGCCCGACAGGATTGGTGGAATTCGTCCAAGAGTTCTGTCCTGTCATTGCCGGGATTGCAGCCGATCCTCTACCAGAGGCGGTCACAGTGACCGTCTTTATGGAGAGCCTCCGCGATGGCGTGACAAAATGGATGTCTTCCGTGTGTATCCGTTTCTTTTGAAGAAGCGGGAAATGTGGCATGCAATGCCGACTTCAACTTCATCTTAGTCGGGGCACGACTTGGTTGGAATGCACACCCTCATCGCTCGTCGACCGGGCCTGAGCCAATCTATCGCATCTATGCTGAGAAAGAGGAGGGATGGCTTCGATCTGCCGTGCAGCGTTTAGATGAAGACACTCATCACCTTCGGACGGGACACTCATCACCTTCGGACGGGTTGTAACCTGCGCAGGGCGCATCAATGAACCGACGTCCCGCTTCTAACCAGCCTGGTTTGTCGCGGGGAAACAAGAACACCCAGTGGGCGCGAGGCGCCCTACTGAGGAAGAATTGATTTCTGTTGAACCTCAACGAGGTAGAGGGCAGCAGAGCCCATCCCCGAAGAGCTCCGTGCTCTATAAAACGGAACGTGTTGTTGCTGGTCGTGAAAGCGACGGTAAGGGGCTTTGAGAACACTGTTCGCTTAGCTACGGGGACTTGTATCACGGTGCCAAGGGTCCCTGTGGACCTCTGTGTCGAGTTTCTTGACTTCGGTAGCGTGGAACGCGGTTTAGTCTTAGATGCAAAGTATGATCACATACTTGATATGACATTGTTGGAACACCATAAGCCATGGATCGATTGCAGATCGAAGACCATAAGCGCTACGCGCAAGTCTTCTGGCGGAGCCTTAGTGAGTCATGAACCCACCTATGCTAGAAAGCAGAAGCGCTATCGGCGCGAGCACTAGACCGGGACGGTCAATGTGCGTGATATCGGAGTATTTTTGGCTGTAGATCACCGAAGGTGTACTGGACAGGAGTCCCGAGCATGACTCGCGGGCTGAACGTGGAGTTGCACATAATCCACTATGTGCTGCTCAAGTATCGGAACGGTCGCTGCATGCCATGCGTGGTATAGACGGTCAGAGGCATCGAGGGCGAGGGCCCGGTGATGCATGTGGAGTGGCACGTAATCTACTGAGCACTGATCTATCGTAGCAGTTGCTGCATGCCAGGAGTGGCATGGTCGGACAAGGTCCGAAGCATCTCTAGCAAGAACCTTTAGATGCACGTGGAGTGGCACGTTATCCACTGGCCGAAGACTGCGGAAATAGCAGCTCTTCGTTGGATGTTGGTAACGACATGAAGGCTCTGGTGGAGCAGGGATTGAGAACACTGGACGACGCTAAGTGCGTGTTTCTACTGGTTTCGTCGAGACAAAAATCTTTGTGGAGAGGCAATGGCGACGTCGCATAGTATCGTCAAGACGCAGGGCGTCGACCCTCATCCATGGTGTGTCTACCGTAGACGATAGCGCACAGCTATGCACCGTTGTCGGTACGACGGGAGAGGAAGACGGCGACGTCATTCCTGCGGTGAATGCTCATCTTGAGCTGGACGAGATCTCCTTCGAAGAGATCGGCAGTGCCTTGAAGGTAGGCAACTTAGTCAACGTGGTCATTATACGACCACACGAGGAGATCAACTCGTCGTCGCTTCCGGATGAATCTGTCCTGAAAGATACCAAGAGGATGCTGAACGCACGAAGTGGATCTTCGATCCCAAAAAAATTCTCAGATCCGTACTATTCTTTGGTAAAGGAGTTGAATGACGTCCTCGCTCTCTTCTTTTCACTTCTCGTCAATCCTACCTCAGGACCGAGGTGTATGTCATGAGGTCGACCTGGTTTTAGAAGTCAAATACTGCGTAACACGCCAATGGCCCCTACCAAAAAGCAGTGTGACGTCATTGACATCTTCTTCCCTGTAAAGCAAAAGGCAGGAATGGTGTGTGAGAGCGAATTTCCCGGTTTGACACCACGTTCGTGTCCGGAAGCCGAACGGCAAGTGGTGTATCTTTCAAGCTTACAATAAGCCCAACGCCGCCATTATTCCGGCACAACGCCGATTTCTTGAACAGATGTTCTTCAGAACAATATGGGTGGCTGTTCAAAGTACACTGCCCTCAACTTAGTCGATAAGTATTACCAAATGCTCATGAGAGCGAGTGATATTCCTCTGGCAGCGGTGAGTACTCCAAGCGGCATGCTCTGGGAGTGGCTTGTGATGCCAGAAAGGCTGTCAAATGCACCAGCAATATTTGATCGTCTTGTAACGCAGTTGTTCAGGCCACCAGGCGTCTGCACAGACATATTTCGACGACATCTTCGTCCACAGTCGTGCGAAGTACGGGAGAACGAATGAAGAATGCCACATCGTTGAGTTCAGAGCGGTGCTCATGTTCATGCGAACGAATAAGCTACATGCCAATGCAGACAAGTGCATCTTCGACGCAGAAATCCTTTTCTTAGGGTTCTCCATTGGGAAGCGTGGCCATCGAGCGGATCCCGCTAAGGTCAAGGCCATTTTAGACTGGCCGGCTCCAAAGAAGCAGAAGGACTTGCGTAAGTGGCTTGGTCTCGCCAACTACTTGCGCAAGTATAGCGTAAATTACGCAGAAATGGCCCGGTCATTATCCAATCTCTTTAAAAAGGATGCGGAATGGTGTTGTAATATCGAACATCAGGAGGCTCTTGACGGGGTCAAAGACAGCCTCCTGTATGCACCGATTCTGGCGCTGCCAGATCCAGATCAGCGTCGTCTGTGACGTTTTGAACTTTGCCATCGGCTGTGCAATGCTGCAAGCAGACGCCGAGGGATGATCGCGTTTCGAATCTCGACAGCTCAGAGTTA